CCCGCAGGGCCCCCCTTTTTGGTCACGGCAGCTATGTAAATGCGCCAAAGAGCCTCTTTCTTGTTTTAAAAATCTGTATATAGAAATATAGATTAGAAGCCCAGGGCTTACCCCCTGGCGGCCTTTGCCCCAATAGGGAATTGTGGGAAGCGTGCTTGTCACGACCCACGGCCGTTAAATACACACACACACACACACACCTAGATTAGCATTCCCATCATCATCATCATCATCATCATCATCATCATCATCAATCGTACATCGGTTTCATCCATCATATTGCTTCTATCATAGTAGACTCACTACAAAGGAGATGCTCCTGCAGACACCTGAGTACCACATACACTCGTGAATCAATGAGCTGGTTTGGAACTTCTTTCTTCCTGTTTCTTGTTGGCTCTCTCGCGTTTCCTAAATGTTTTTAAACAAAGAAAGGTGTATGGATATGGATCCATTGCATGTGAGACATATCAACACTGCCATAGAGAGCAAACGAGGCACTTTAGAAGTGGCCATGAGGCCTGTTGCTGGAATTGGCATGGTTTCAAAAGCAACAGGCCATAAGCACTCTCACGAATTTGGGCTCGTCCAGGCGAACGCTCGCTCCGATACTGTCGAATATATAACTGGGTTGGGATTCCAGGAAAAGGAGAAGACCACCCTCATCGCCATGGATCCCCTCTCTATTAGCGCGAGCATTATTGCCATCGCAACACTTGCTGGACAAACCTGTTCCGTCCTCTCCGACCTGCGGGCGCTCTGTCAAAGCTTGCCCGGTCGGCTCCACGCGGTGAATAATGAGGTTGCTGACCTCAATCTTGTCCTTCTTCAGTTGTCCTCCCTCATAGATGACCGGGCTTGTCTGCCGGAGAGCGAGCTGTCAGCTATTCCTCATATTTTGAAGCAAGCAAACAAAAAATTAGTGGAAATCAAAACCATCGTTGACCAGCTATCTGCCGCCTGCCGTGTGTCTCGAATGGCTGTCTTCAGGGCACATGCATGGAAAAAGGAGCAGGGCAGGTTGCAGACCCTGCAAGAGGATATTCGAACGGTCAAGGCCAATATCAATATCATCCTCGGGACTTCCAACTCGTACGTGATCTAACATACTCTGAAAACAACGGGAAAATGCACGGAATAGTTCTATTCTCTAACTGAAATGCTAGACAAGACATGACGAAGATCCGGCTCGAAATTCAAGCGATCTCTACTATCGCTATGCAATCTTCTCAAGAGCAACTCGCCCTGAAAACGAATTTTCTGAGCGGGCTTGCTGCTGTTGACGAGCGTATAGCTCGAGTTGAGGAGATGTTACGTGTACAGGCTGATCAAGTCAAGGCCAGCCAGCTCACGCAAGTGGGTTCAACCTACGACATGTCAACAACTGCTCGAAGGCAGCCAGTTCGGCCGTCCACTAAAGAGGCGTACCCGATAACACCGCGATCCGATGGGATTGGTATCCGCGTAACTCCCTTCTCCACGACTTGCCGGTCAGGATGCCACTGTGCGTGCCATTTGCACCAGAAAAAGACCAGTCCTGCGCTCGTTGGCCGCGTTCTTGGTTGCCTGTTCGTCGGATATGCTGGCATTCCGCTCCTTAGTCCAAAGTGCACTGTCCAGTCGTGCAACAAGTCCAGGGCGAGGTCTTTATCTTTGGAATACTGGTTTCCTCTAGGTTCGCTGTCGTCTGCCATTCTAAGACTGCAAGTGGGTTATCAGCCGAATATCGGAACGCTTCTTCATTTAGATACGCTAAGAAGGGTCCCGGACACGGCACAGTGCGTCAGCTTTGCCTTGAGCGGTGACATTGAGGGACTGAAGCATCTCTTTGTCAGTGGATTAGCTTCCCCCCGCGACATCAGCTCCACTCGAGGTTATTCAGTCCTTCGATGGGCTCTCTACGGGAAACAGTACGAGACATGCAAGTTCTTGATCCAAGCCGGGGCCGATCCCGACTATAGGCCAATTGCCGCAAGCGACAACAGCCCAAGGAACAAGGCTTGTCATTTCCTTCTTGAAGGCGGACTGTCTGACACTGCTGTTAACGCCCTTCGCACCATTACTCAGGGCGGATATCTGGAAGACTTCGTTGAAGAAGCGGGATTTACGAAGACCCATAAAATTGTCTTAGGACTGTCGACACTGGACTTGGAAGACGAAATTTCTAGGAAACCGGGAGATGTTAACGCAGTGGACGCGATGGGACGAACACCACTGGCCTGGGCGGCAGCACGAGGAGATACACGAGCGATCGTCACATTGTTAAGTCATGGTGCGAATCCAAACATAATGGATGTCCAATTCTCCGGCCCCTTATCCAATGCGGCTGCCCAGGGCCGGACAGTCGCGGTTCGTTTGCTTCTGGAAGCTGGCGCACACACTGACTTTCAGATTCCCAACGGCGAGAAGAAAGGAAGCCCTCTCAACTGCGCTGCCCGAAACGCTACGGACGCTCTGTTGTTAAAAAGCCTTCTCGACTTCGGCGCGGATGTGGATGCATGTGGAACCGATGGGAAGACAGCCTTGATCCACGCGGCGCGAACCGACAACGCGAGTTTTGCTATGCTGTTGCTTGAGTACGGCGCAGATATTAACGCTATATCCGTCGATGGCTCGACGGCTCTTACGACTGCCATCGCATATAATAGTCACAATGTCTTACGGCTAATTCTTGATCGATGGCACGAATACTCCATTTGCCCGCGACTCCGAGGCCCACATCTACTTCAGGTTGCGGCGCTGCATGCCGACATTGAAACTCTTCATATTTTGGCCACCACGGATCATCTCAGAATGAAATACGACAAGGGATACACACTTGGCGATTTTGGCAATTGCTTACGACAGCGCCCCGACTTGACAGACGGCCTGGCAAACACTTTCGATGAGCTGCTGAGCATCATCAATCACCTGCCAAGCGCTGATCGCAGCCCAAGGGGTGCTTCAAGAGCAGGAATGTTCTCGTCCTTTTCGCCACGTGCCGACTCTGATTGCGAGGCCTTAGACGAACCCAGCAGTGCTTGTAGTTGCGATAGCTTCCGCGATGCCTTCGAGGTTTTCCCTCAGCAGAACCACATGGCTTGATATAGGAGCCCTTGAAGGCAGGTAGGTTTCAGATTTGACCGCAGGAAATAGCCGGAACTACATCAGGAGATTGAAAGAGAGAACAAAGGGAGTTTGTGCATTTACTAACATATTGGAATATGTTCGGAGAAGAGGATTTCCTTGGTGGCTGTCCAGAGAAGTAATTCCTTCACTAACTGTGACTTTGCGGCGGGTGAACAAAGAATGGCCCCGATTAGTCTTATGCATCAGAGCGCCACAAGCCTCCAGCTAGCAAATAAATGCTGATTGGCACACGTAGGACACAGTGGAAACACCCTCTGGCTTTCTACTTATCAGAAGGGGAGCGGGGTACTCAAGGACCAAAAACGACTGTGTGTCTCTTGATGATCTCTCCCTCTCATTCAGCACTGTCAAATTTGGACTTCTTCATTATAGATATTCCTAAAGCCCTCATATTGTATTTCGGTCTCTTCGTCCTCCACCGATAGATCATGAGATTTGGTCAGGATTTACACCGTTACCAGGTGCCGGAATGGGCGTCTTCGTATATTCCCTATGTCTCTCTGAAAAGTATGTTCAATACAGCCGTCAGGGAAGCGATGCATAAGAGAACACAGCCGGACTTCACTGGTGAGTTATGAATCGTCCCTGATTACCTTCGTTGTCAGACGTTTCTCATACCTTCTTCAGAGACGCTCTTATCCCTGGAACGCGGCATTAATACCATAAGCGATTTCCATGACGACAAATATCAGTTTTTACTAAAGAGGGAAGACGGAATACGCAGGAAATTCGGCCTGCCGCTTGAAAGGGGCGAATGGTTGGTTGGCGAGCGTCTGGGCTGCTGCCAGCTGGAAGAACTTCTCCGTGCTATAATAGAACTCAGGGAAGATTTCCAGAAGTTGCAGTGGTATTTTAGGGTGAATACAGAAGCCATCAACAGGGTATATTCCAAGCTCGATAGGTGCAGCGGATTGTCCGGACCATTACACCAGCAGAGATCGAAGTGGCTTGAAAGGAAAGCTGATCGTGACGCCGTATGCGCAAGAGACGCTGAGATCTTGAGAAACCTGACAGCAGAGATTCGTCGCTCCCTGGCCCTTCCGGGTTCTCGTCCGGAAACTCTACATAGACAGTCAACCCAACATGGTGTGATCCCCGATCTGCTGTGTTGCATCACGGAGGATCAGTCTTCACAGTTGAGCGCCTTCCTGGAGAAGCTTTCCTTGGATTACGGAGCACACAGTCCACGCTTCCGAGAGCTAGTCTATGACATGGCGGGGCTTTCTCTGACCTACGGTGCGAAAAACTCGGTGAATTTCTTCCTGTTCGAGGCATTCCAGAAATATGGTGTCGAGATCGACAACGGTATCTTGATCCATATGATCTGTCTTTTGGGCCGAAGTGGTACCTTGGGAGGATATAATGGAGTGAACATTACTTCTCCTTGCGGTCATAAGAAGCGTCGTGACGAGGTGATGGCCAGCTGCTTCTTTCACACTGTTCAGCGGCTCGGCCACCAGAAGAAAGACGTCTTCCTGGCGAAAGACGCCATTGGACGCAATTGTCTTCACTACAGTGCCTTATATCGCCTGCAAGTCATCTGCCAATCGATCCTGGAGCCTGCCCGCCGCGATAGAAGTTACGCCCTCCGCTTGATCTTGTCGGTAGACTCCCAGGGATATACACCGTTACACTACGCGGTGATAGACAATCATCTAGCTATTACAGATATGTTTCTGGCCGCTCTTGACCTGGAAGGAGAAACGAGCGAAAAGACGACCAAGGACTTGGTTACGTTACTGGACGAACTTCTATTTATCGCCATTAGATATCAGTTTAGAGACATAGTCTACCTACTTGGCAAGCGGCACTCGGGCTGTGACACGCAATCTCCTGAAGGGGAGACTGCCCTATATGTGGCCGCCCAAACTGGGAATGAGAAGGTCGTTGATTTCCTTCTGAGCACAGGCTGGGTGAAGTATATCGACGCTGCCGAGACTGCCCGGGGATGGACGCCGCTGTTTATTGCATGTGCGCAAGGCCACCAGGCAGTGACAAAGCTCCTTTTGCAGGCAGGAGCGAGACAAGACATAGTTGACGATATTGGCTGGACTTCCAAAGAACACGCCGCGCTGAGAGGTCATCTTATTGTGGCCGAAATGCTGGATTCATGGAGTACTCTCAATCTCCCTGGCAGTCCATCTAGCATGCACGTGAAACCTGTGTCTGGAGCACAAGTCCATCTTCCCCCTGACTACAGTTATGTTATAATCAACCTAGGTGCGACGCGGAAAGGCAATCAGGCCAAGGCCGTTGTATTCAACCCCAATTCGGAAGGGTACATTTGCACCGGCGGCTCCCTGGCTCTTGAAGTGTCGGTCTCAGAAGGGAATGATACAAGTCGAGCGGTCGAACTGCCCATATTGAATGATATGGTCAACGAACCATTTACTTTTCCCGTTTCTGATCCTGACAAGACTTGGCTGGCGTTCATGTTGTATCGCGCTGGTTCTCTGCACACAGGAGGACGAGCCCTCCTGGGAAGCGGCGTCGCCTTATTGAAAAGCCTCAGCGATTGTTTCGGGACTGATAGGGAGAGCCTTATCAGGGAACGTACGATCCCCATATTATCAAAAGACACACTGATCCTTTTGGGTACCGTGACTTTCACCTTTCTCATCGCCAGCCCAATGGCTCCGCTGAATATCTCGGCACGGGGCACACCAACGTTTACGACAAGCAGCCTACAACTTGTTGGCCACAGAGGTATCAGTTCCGCTTCATTCCCCGTGTCAGGCCCGTGTCAGGCCCGTGTCAAGCAACTGTTGACGGATTGACAAAGGACTTGGTCAAAATACTGCTAACCGCAGCCATCTTCAGCTTGGGGAGAATACAATGGAGGTACGTGATCCGTCTTGACAAGCTAATTTTGGTTAACGTCAAGTCCAGTCATTTCGCTCAGCTGCAAAGCAAGGCGCCACTTATGTAGAGGTAACTTACACAACTCATTGTCTTATCGGGATATACTGACCTCACGTATAGTTCGGTAAAATCCAACTACTCAGAGCGGTCTTTGTCTTGCGTACTAAGTATGACCAGATGTGCAGCTGACAAGAGACTTGGTGCCCGTTCTTTATCATGACTTTTCTCTGAGCGAATCGGGGACGGATATTCCTATTCATGACTTGACTGTGGAACAGGTCAGTACCTTCGGAATAGATGAAACTCAACTCACATATCTAGTTTCTGTATGTCAGCAAGCTCCAGTCGGGATGTCCTGTTCAAGATGTACGAAAGCCACATGGGGTTGAGAATACCCATACTCGCTCTTGGTCCTTGACAGGAGAGTATGGACCAGGCACTCAGGAGATCCGTGATAGGCTGAAGCACACCGTGGAATTTACAAATAAGGGCTTCAAGCCGAATACCCGCGGCGACTTCATCCAGGATTCTTTTACCACGCTGGAAGATGTGCTCACAAAACTGCCCGAGTCGGTTGGTCTTAACGTTGAAATAAGTAAGCCTGGCTTCAACCTTGGCCGAGTTTCTTCTCCAAATGAGCTATATTGACACGGTCAGAATATCCGAGAATCCATGAGGCGGCAGAAGCTGGAGTCGCGCCTCTCGCCATCGAGATCAACACATTTGTCGACAAGATTCTGGAGAAAATCCTCCTGCACGCTCGGAATACACGAAACATCATCCTCTCCTCTTTCACTCCCGAAGTCTGCATTCTTTTGGCCTTCAAGCAACGAGTGTATCCAGTGATGTTCATCACCAATGCCGGCAAGCCTCCAGTGGCGGATTTGGAGACAAGGGCTTCCAGTCTACAGTCTGCTGTTCGTTTCGCGAAGCGGTGGAGCTTGTCTGGCGTCGTATTTGCATCCGAGACCCTGATCAGCTGCCCCAGACTCATCGGATACGTCAAGCAATCCGGGTTGGTATGTGGGTCGTACGGACTCCAGAACAACATCCCAGAGAACGCGAAAGTAAGGTTCCTCTGTCCAGAGGAGAGCGTACAGTTCACTGACTTCGTTTAAGGTGCAAGCAGCTGCTGGGATTGACATACTAATGGCCGATAGAGTTGGACTGATCTCGGGAGCCTTGCGTGCCGGTGGCTATCTCTAGAGATTTTCGGCCTTGGCCTCGGCCCTCTGCGGTCTCACTCTGACTACTTGCCTCTATTAGCGGGCTGCCTCACATTGACTGATGGTGGCGGGAGGAGAGGAACATAACACGTTAATTATTCTTGGTTATCCGGAAATTCAAGATACAACGGATTCGTGGCCACAGCCTATTTCCCTCTGTGCAGGGGCTGCCCTGTGGGATATGTCCCGGGGCTGCCCGACTCCGGTGCCGTTCTGAATTCGGGCTGCATTCGCAATGCCGACTAGTATCCTTTGAGCAATTGATTTGTTGTGCAGTACAGCCGCCCTTCCTTTATCTTCTCTAGGCTTCCTTGCCGCATTCGCTGCTTCCCTTAGTCTTGGTACCTGAGTTTGACACCAAATGGGATAATGATCCCAAGGTCGGCGGTTGCACAGACCCTAATGTCCTTGCCTTCACCGTCAACGAAGGGTCTTCCGGCGCCATCATACTATGCGACAAGGTGTTCAATGGACCTCGATTATACTCAGTGGATGCATTCAAGAGCAGTTTGGTTAGGAATGACAAGCTATCGAAGAGGCCGAGGGGCTCCAGGAAATCTCCGAAGTGTTTCCAGCCGGGCGAGCTCTGTATCACGAATTGTTTCATCTGTATTGGGGCTCCTCAGTGATGAATCGGGGCAATGATGAGGAATATAACTTCTGGAGGATGACAGGTAATTCACTTCGAAAGGATGACACAATGTACAAGACGCCGCAAGCCATGATGAACCCAGAGAATTACGCTCTGACTGCGTAAGTACTAATCTTCTTCTCTTGTGATTATGCTCACAATGCTGTATGGCAGGGTCGCCTATGATTATACTCCGCATGTCACCATCACTAAGGACGGCAAGATATACCCAGTTGAGTTCTGCACAGGCTTCTGTACGTATGAAGCGTGAAAATATCCGGACAGTTATATCCGGATAACCTAAAGGTGAATGAACACTTTGGCTCTTACTCGTCTATCACCGTACCCAAGCTCCTTGGACATCAACGTGTAATGAGTCAAATGCTGGACTTGCTTGAATGCATGATATGCTAGATTATCAACTTCATAGTATCTGTGGTATATTGCGACACAAATAGCTAAACAATCGAATCTCATTCGTAGTCATCATCATCGAAATATCGAAAATTCTGTTTCCAGCGGTCAATATCCTCTTGCCTAAGAAAGGTATACCATCGTCGGTAGTACTCCAAAGGATTGGCAAGGGCGGAGTGTGACCACATTCCAAGCTGTACCATCCGCTGCTCCTCCCAGATTGCAAATCCATAGCGAACATACGCTTGGAAATACATGTACTTAGCCGGTCCGGCCTCAGGGTTCCCAACCATACTACGCCAGAATTGGACACCGAGCGGTTCTCGGCCTAGGTCCTCCCACTCCTGGGGCCGCTGCGACTGCGGCCCATAATCATGGACCGGGCGAGGCTCGTAGGGGTGTACTCGGTTACGGATATAAAATTCTTCTGGAGACGGGGAGCGATCTAAGAGGAGGCAGCCTCGGGTAATTACAGGACCAGCCCAGCTTGAATCAGAGCTCGAGCTGGAGCTTGATTCTTCGTCGTCGGTGTCCTCCTGTAAGTCCTCGGCAGTGTCCAATTGGCTGTCGTCTTCGGATTCCTCGTCGGAGTCTGTTCCATAGAAAAAACGACGTGCTCCTAGCCTATGTGGCTCTTCAGGTTCCCCTGTCAGGTCCGGATGAGGCTGGGACGGAGGCTCAGGACTGGCTTCAGGACTGGGCTCATGCCTCAGGTCTAGGACGTCCTCTTGACTGCAGACTTTGTCGGGTCTCTGTTGGGTCTTTTGCTGCGCCCCTTGCTGTGCAGATAACATTGCCTCCAAGCTTGGTCCACACTGCTCAAATGATCGACCTTGAGTAATGGCTCTTGAAGAAGGAGGAGGCTCACAGACCCAGCTAAACTCCTTTTCATGAGGGACCCTGGGCAGCTTGAAGGGGTGTTGAGACAGAGGCTGAGACGGGTCAAGTGAACTTTCCACCAGCGGAAACCTAGCAATAAAAAACAAAGCTGTAAAGGCCTCGTATACCATAGCATTTGATGTAAAATGCTGGTAGGCGCCACTTGAGGCCAGTCGTCTCAGGTCCCCTGGGGACCATCCCAGAGATCCCATTGAACCCTTAATCTTGAGTTCGTTCCAGAACATGACGCGCCAAAATGCAAGAACTGTCCGCTGCTCCTCTGTCCAGGTGGGTATCTCAAAGCCTCGGGGATACTGTCGTTGGCCTAATGGACTCTTAAGGCATTGCTGGATGGAGCTCTCGATACATAGATGTGCCAGAACATGGATATGGTGGGCGAGACGAACGAATTTGCGCAGATGTGTTGATGATGCTATAATCCTATCTGCTGGTCGGATGTCACTGTCTATGAAATAATCGGCGTCCCCATAAGTTTTGCATTGAAAAGTGCCCGTGTGCATGGCGAGGATTGCTTGCATGAGGATCCGAGTCTGGACGGGCACAGTTAAGAGCATGACTGCAGAGACAATGTCACAGGCTCTATCATTAAACACAGATAACATTAGTCTAGATGTGTGCATAAGACTCCACACGGAGGAAAAGTCGGCACATTGCTGGAAGACGGCGATTAAAAGCTCACTGGGCAGCAGGGACAGCCGATCAAGGCCTGTGCCATACGACTGTCGAGACATTCCTGCTGATCAACAGTTGGACTGTTGGACTCAGTCGAAAAGACGATAATCCTCTGTGGATGAGCGGATGGAATGGCTTGATTGTAGGCCTGGGGCTTGACCAGGTTTTAACTAGTAGTTATTTGGGGATGTCTGAGTCACTCCAAGGCGTCAGCCACACGTGACCTTCATACACAGGAGTTTAGTCCATATCCTCGAGCCCTGCAAGTTCGGAATCCATGATAGCAGCTCCTCGTCCAATACTCCGATTGCTGCCGAGAGGGTATCAAGCAGAATGTGGCCTGGTGTGCAACCCCTGGAGAAGTATATTCTCTGTTGTCACACCTGCGAGAAGATGAGATGAGTGGAAAATATCCCTGCCTCTCATTATATAGGGACGTAAGTGATACTTCCTCTTCTACAGTGCTTTTCTTCCTTCCTCCTAGATAGATCAAGATCAGAGTATGAGTTTCATTCCTTCTTCTTCTCTCCAGAGATGCTAAGATATATTAATGTGAAACTAGGTCGCATAGATCAACAGGGGTCTCGATGACTCACTAGACTGTGATGGGAGAAAAACTACCTTAGACTCCTTAGTAGTAAAGGGTATGCTAAAGCCCCCAACAACGACTAGTCTGATCGGTGCTACTACTAAGTACCTTAGTGGTTCCGGACGGTAGGAGCCGGGGTCAAGATCACTAGTGGATGCTAATTTCTAGCGGCATGATTCCTGTTGGCCATTGAAGCTAGTGTTGATGTTTAGTGAGGCCAGATATACATTCTCAATTCCTCACTAAGCACGTCATGGTTGCAAACTTTATCAAGCTTGGTAGGTTCTCTTAGGGCCGTTCTAACCATCAGACAGAGCATAATGCAATCAATGCTTTCTTCCACGTCCATAGCTAAGCGGATTGCTAAATCACCTCCAGAAAGCACCCCAAGAGTGGGATCCTAGGCTACAACACGAACCTCTCCATGGCTCTCCACAATTGCAACCAGTCTGTTACATTTCCCACAATAATGAAGAGAATCCTGGCAATCCCTCATCACGCAAGGTAATATAGCACCAATCGGGCCACAGAAGATGCAACAGAGACATGACCAGAGCCTGCACTCATCTTAGCATATGAACTCAAGTATTCGTCTTTTTGCTAGCTCAGCGACGGGTATATGGGGATCACTGACTTTGCCCGATGCCCAACCATGAACTCGACTCTGGTGGTCGCTTGTGCATGGCAAATGGGGCAGTCAATGGTTACAGGGTAATTGGTCAGCGCAGACCACGGCGACGGTTGTAGAGCTGCAGGCACAGGTCCAGCACTTCCAGTCAGAGGAGAGGCTGGTTGATCTGCGGCTGGTGCTTTCTCTGTTGTCGTTCTGTCGATATACTAAACCGGGATTCTTTCCGTTGCAAAGACATTGGTCACGACTTACTGTTCCTGCTGAAGAGTGTTTGGTTTACCACCTTGACCAGTGGCTGGATGATTACTTGGTGCTGCTTTTTCGGACATCACTGAGATAGTGAATTTGATCAGGATATTTGCTATTATCGAGTTTCGCTTCTTTCTGTCAATGACTAAAAGGCTTGTTATATCTAGTTTACCACGCGCAATCTTAGGCTCATCACCATGCAGCATCAGAAAGATCAGGAGATGATCAGGAGATAATAATGTGTGGCTAATTCCCCGGGTCCGACAGACAACCCATGGACCGTGGTTCAAAGCTTGTGGCAACGTACCCTGGTACACATTTATTTCCGCCCTCTAACTAAGGTAGATTCTGTGTCTTGGAGAAGTTACTAAAGAAACCAACAGATATATCAAATCAATGAGATACCACACAGCACAGAGGCGTGGCGCAACATCTTCACCCGCTATGAATATCCCAGTAGCAAACTGCGATACTGCTTCGAATATTCCGTACTACCTACCCTTTGATTAGGATCCATTCACCCAGTATACACCCCATTCCCATCCCTCCTCATCATCCACATCGGGTACGGATCATCCATCAGGCCGCATAACCCCCAGAGACTAAAAACAGACGCCTTCATCGCCCCATCAAAGCCCGTGGCCTCCCTCTCCCACTCATCAATCTCCGGCCAAGCCTCCACGGCCTTGACCCACCACTTATCCAGATACCGCCCGGCGTGCGTGCCCTCGCCGATTGCTCTCGCACCGGCTTTTCCTAAGACCTGGCACACCTCCTCGTCGACGACAAGACACACGTGCCGCTGCGTCGGGTGGCCCCAGTTCCAGTTCTCTCGACCCCTGCCGCTGGCGCGGTCGTCGATCCAGGATTCAAAGTGGGATCGCACGCCGTGGAGCGAGATTCCGTCGAGCTGGGTGCGGTCTTCGATGATGGTGGGGCGGTGGTTGGCGCAGATGAGCTGGTAGCCTGTTTTGAGCTCTTCGGGGGGCCCGGCAAATGTTTCTTTGAAGTATGCGTATTCTTGGCGGATCTCCCGTTTTATGTACAAGTTTGTTAGCTCGACGATTTGGGGGAATTGGCGGTAGGATTCGGGGGTGTATGTGGTGCGGTAAATGATGAAACCCCAGGGTGGTGCTTGAGGGAGTTGCAGCCGATGTATGAGACGCCAGGTAGGACTGGGGACCACGTTGCTTTGCAATGAAATAGCAGATTGGAAGTTAATGGAGGTTACCTAGGAAAGGAGGTTTATTGAGCGGACTAGGCGGATACTTATACTTTCCGTCCACCTTGCCAAGCAGCCAAAGCCAAGGAAGAGACTATGCCAAGGTGGTCCTGGTCCGCGGAGTCGAAAAGCGGGGGATTTATGGCCAAGAGTTCCTCTTGATTCTGATTGTGTTGCTGAGCAAGAAAGACTTGTTCTCTTGCCAGTTGGGCGTTTTTGTCGAAGATGAGGTTGCTCGAAAGCAATCAGTTAGGGTTCCGAACCCTGTCTGTCGATCTGTTTGTTGATCCTCATCCTCCACACGGCACGGGCCGATCACAGCCATCTGCATCATCGCCATCATCATGATCGACGCAACAACCAAGCTCAAGCGTTGCGCAATGCGACGAACTCGGATGATTCCGCGACCATGGTCAAGAACGCTCTGGCAGTTCTGGCCCAAGTCAACAAGGACCGCGTGGAGAATCCCAATTTCAACCAATACGCCTCCCAGGAGCCTCACCGCACACAGGTATAGATAGATGATAGATCCCTTCGAGTGATAGAGACAAGTGTGACAAAGTACTCATGTTCAGCAGGCATCGTTCGCGACTGCTGCACCGCTAGATTATAGTACTGAAGCGGTAGAGAATGCCCGCCTTCCGAAACGCGATGCTCCCTCTACCACGACCCGTGGCAACAAAGCATATTCTATCCCACCGGAGCTAGCTAGAGCGGCTCAGATCGTTGCGGAATCAACGGATAACACGCCGAGTGGAAATCACAGCGACGTAGCGGCTGATATTCGTCGCAAATACGGTCAAGGAAAGCGACACACTAATACCCCGCCACAGGCTCTTGTCCAGTCGAATGGCCTTTATGACTTCCAGTCTTTCGCCGAAAATGCAAACGTGTCGCTGGTTGACCAAGAGAGTTACACAGGACTTCACAAGCGCGCCCCTTCTCTGTATTGGATGCCGCACATGGAAAAGAATGGCCACAGTCCATTCGCCCCGGACGGCTACAAGGTATTTCGCCCCTCTTTCAAAGTTTCTTCGCACTCGCGAATACTGAGACAGTAACCTAGATTTGGAGAAATGTTCGCGACTACGGAGCCAAGGGTGACGGGGTCACAGACGACACGGATGCTATCAACAGAGCAATTTCAGACGGAGGGTGCTGCGGTGCGGACTGCGGCTCGAGCACTAGGTATCCTGCAGTAGTCTGGTTTCCAGGCGGCACATACCTGGTTAGCTCGTCCATTATCCAATATTATAATACCCAGTTCATAGGTGATGTAAGTTCCACGCACAGTGCTTCGGTGAGCATGTCTAACGACCGCTAGCCACTGAACGTGCCCACGATCCTAGCCGCGTCGAGCTTCATCGGGCTGGGCGTTATTACTTCAGATCCCTATGTGAGCGGCAACGAGCAATGGTATCTCAACCAGAACAACTTCCTGCGCAGCATCAAGAACTTCAAGATCGATATTCGGCCAACGGATCCGTCCGCCTATGTATGCGCAATTCACTGGCAGGTGGCGCAAGGTACTTCGCTGGAAAATATCGAGTTCTACATGCTGTACAACTCAGACGTTCCTGGGAACACGCAACAGGGTATTTACATGGAGAATGGCTCAGGAGGCTTTCTGACTGACCTGACCTTTGTGGGTGGGAACTTTGGGTGAGGCCGCTCCTATCAATAATCAAAAGGAGTGCTAATCAAGATCTTTCCCCAGTGCCTATTTTGGCAATCAGCAATTCACAACTAGTCAGCTCGTTTTCGTGAACTGCCAGACAGCTCTGCAGGTCCATTGGGACTGGGCATGGACCATGCAAGACTATGTTATCGAATCATGCACGAATGGTCTGGTAATCGTTGGCGGGGTATGGAATCAATTCCTTCCCCTTACATTGAATAACAAAGCTGATGAGGATAGGCTGGTGGCTCCATGAGTAATGGGCAAGGCGTTGGCTCCCTAATTTTAGCTGATGCCATCATTGCCAATACCCCGAATGGCATCGTTACATCCCTCCACACGGAGAACTCTACATCCTTACTGCTTCAAAACGTCGGATTCTTCAATGTTAAGACCGCGGTTGTGGACAGTGTAAGAAATCAGGTCCTTCTCCCTGGCGGCAATGAAGTCCTGAAAGACTCATGGGGTTTTGGTATGGTCAATGACGCAACTGGTGTTGGATCCTTTGTGAACGGGCAGGATATCCCTGTCATGAATCGAACTGAGAAAATGCTTGGAAGTCAGGCGTATGTTAAGCCGAACCTGTTCACACGCCGTCGCCCCCAATACGAGGATCTTTCGACCGATGACATTGTCAACGTGAAACTATTCGGTGCCAAGGGCGATGGAAGCTCTGATGACGTGGTCGTGTTGAATTGGATTCTGGAATACGCTGCCAATCTATCATCGGTTGTGTACTTCCCTTATGGCGTGTATATGATCAGGGATACGTTGAAAGTTCCCGTGGGTTCGCGAGTTATGGGCCAGGCATGGCCTCAGATTGTGGCCACGGGCCCCAAATTTGAGGATATCGATCACCCTTATGTCGCGGTCAAGGTTAGAAATCCTGGGGATGTGGGCATCATTGAAATCCAAGACATGATGTTTACGGTGTCCGGTCCAACTGCAGGAGCTGTTCTTGTCGAGTGGAATGTCGAGCAGTCCGTCAAAGGCTCTGCTGCCATGTGGGATTCGCACATTCGTGTTGGTGGCGCCATCGGTTCCAAGCTTCAGAGGGAACAATGCCCTAAGCAGACGCGTCGTGTGAATCCGAATTGCATTGCGGCGTCTCTCCTGCTGCATCTGACTCCATCGTCAACTGCGTATCTCGAAAACATCTGGGCCTGGGTCGCCGACCACGATTTGGACGTGATCACACAGGATCAAATTGACGTCTACTCAGCTCGTGGTATCTTGATTGAAAGCCAACAGGCCTGGCTCTACGGGACCTCGTCAGAGCATAACGTCATGTACCAGTATCAGCTCTCTGGGGCGCAGAACATCCTGATGGCTATGATCCAGACGGAATCCCCATACTATCAACCAGTACCTCTAGCGCCTAATCCCTTTACACCGGGAGTGTTCCCTGACGATCCTCTATTCGACGACTGCAAGTCCAATCCACTCAAGTGCGCCGTATCCTGGGCAGTCCGTATCGTCGACTCGTCTTCCATCTGGATTCTCGGAAGCGGCCTCTACAGCTTTTACTCAGACTACTCCCAGGACTGTCTTAAAACTGAGAACTGCCAGCAGAGAGGCTTCGAAATTGAGCAGAGCTCTGATATCTGGATTTATAAATCTTTGCACCAAGGCCATCATCGAAATGGTCACTCCGTTCCAGGGGGTACCCACATATGCCTGGGATAACGTCAACGGATTCCTCTCGTCAATCCTGGCTTGGCTGGGTGGTGCTGAGCAAACAGCGGGCCAAAGGGAGTTCCCTGGTTTCACGATCTACACTTCTTCCGGGCTGGAGGATGCTGATCTTCCTCTGGCCTGCAAGAATTCCCTAGCTGAGCGGATCAAGTGTGACCCCTACGTGTCCTCTATGATGCAGCTGAGTTATCATGGATCGCTGGATAATGACACACTCACCGACTCAATCTGCGATGCCAGCTGTGGGGTCAGTCTTTGGCAGTGGTATAACTCAGTGGAGCGAAACTGTGCAGGCTATATGATACCTGGCGGGTCTCCTCCAGTGGTAGTTGGAGCACGTATGTGGGCTGGCTTTAATGAAACGTGCAGCAAAGATAAAGAGACTGGAGAGTATTGCAATGGTATACCTAATATGTCCCCTGCCTCCTTAGCCTCCGTATATGCTAACGTGGGGCTGCAGCGATTATCGATGACTTTACCATCGTAGATTCTACGATGGTAAAGTCATCGATAATCTACTTCCAATAACTATTTGACTTCTTTAAAGTCTCTAAACGCGATTGAACCTATTTATGAATAACCCATTACGTGTCATGTTTATATGATGTGCCTCGACTGCGAGTGTTTGACGTCAGTATGAGTAAACGACTGTACCTAAGCTGAGAGATCACATACAGTTATCTACAGATGAATACAAACATCTACAGGTATGGCTTTCTCAGGTACATCGGGCTTAGATGCTCTTCTGCGTCGTCCAGAGCAGGAGAGCATCTGGACACGCTTGCTGAGGGCCCCCGTGCCTGTAATTGCGGAACTTCTTTACAGCCGATTCGCTCAAAGGCCCATGCCCATGCCCATGCCCATGTCCACTGACCATGATGGCCCAACCATACGCGTGGTTTGCATCTCAGACACTCACAACACTCAGCCCCAACTGCCTGACGGAGATATCCTCATCCATGCAGGTGATCTCACCCAGTCCGGTACTCGAGAGGAGCTGGAAGCACAGATCGAATGGCTCGATAGCCAGCCCCATCGCTTCAAGGTAGCGATAGCGGGGAACCACGAGCTGTGTCTGGACCCCAAAGCTCCCGCTCGCAATCGCACCGGGCCAGTCGACTGGAAATCCATCCGTTATCTGGAGAACTCATCGACAATCCTCGACTTTGGTGATAGCAGACGCGTCAAGGTCTTCGGGTCCCCGTACACCCCTCGGCACGGGAACTGGGCTTTCCAGTATCCGCGTGCTGAGAATGTCTGGGACGAAATACGGATCCCTGATGACATTGATATTCTTGTTACACACGGCCCCCCAAAGACACATTTGGATCTGGGACGATACGGCTGTGAATTCCTTCGGTCTTGGTTATGGTCGGCGAAGCGAAGGCCTTTGCTACATGTATTCGGTCATATCCATGGGGCTTACGGGAAGGAGACTCTGTGCTGGGACGATTTCCAACGAGCGTACGAGAGCATCCTTGACGATGATGCAAAGTGGAGGAATCTGATCACGTTAATGTGGCATGCACTTGTACAGCTTATACGCCCGAGATATCCATGTGAAAGGACTATTATGGTTAATGCCGCTGCAGTTGGGGGACTCCGCGATGAAAAGAGGCGGGACGCTATTTGCGTTGATATCTAAACCAGCCAGCAGAGAACATCATGGACACCATCAATAGAGTACTAGCTACCACTCCTCAACAGAATCATCCGGCCAATAATACTCTCCCCGGTCAAGCGCCCTCTTCAGTCTCGGATTGACCCTGACATACCCCGCCTTCTGCAACCCCGCAAAAACCCCGTCGATCAACTCGGCCACCATTCCCCCGAACACGATACTCCCCTCCGTATTCAGGTGCGTCCGGTCATCCGGAGTGAGGTTGTACGTGTACGCCTCCTCCGGCCCAATGCTATTCAGGTACCGCGTACTCGCGCGATTCAGATCGACGTACGCCGCGCGCGAATTCCTCGCCGCCTCGATGGTCGCAGCGCGCTGGTCCGCTAGACTCAGGATGATGGTGGGCTCGCCCGTGACGTTAGAGGTCTGGTAGTTCCGGCGTGAAAGCGGGGTCACCAGGATGGGTGTCGCGCCGGCATCGCGCGCCTCGCAGGCGAATCGCTCAAGGTTGCGGGTGTATTCGGCGATGGAGATGTTGGCCGCGGCTTTCTGGTCGTTGTGGCCGAACTGGATGGTCACGTAGGGCGTGTAGCGGTCCTTGTACTCGGCTACTTTGCTGAGGACCGTGGCCCAGTCCCCTCCGGCGCGGAAACTGACGGTCGTGGCGCCGTTGTGGCCGTAATTGAGGCCGCTGGCGCCGTGGGAGAGGGTCGTGTTGAGGAATCCGTTGCCCCAGCCGCCGCCGTTGGAGGACTGTTTGGCTGTTGTGCTGTCGCCGGCTAAGAGGAAGAAGGGTGGTTTGGGAGAGTGGCCGGGGGTCGGCAGAGCGTAGAGGGGGAGGATAAAGAATGAAAGGAGGGGGAGGGGGAGACGCATTGTGATCTGGGATGACTTGGACAATACCGGTAGATGAATGTCAGTTTAAGCGGACTACAAGAGTGAGTATCTTTATATTGGACTCTGGGAGATGAGTCGGGCAAATGCCCATGCAAATGTAGTGTTTTCCACCAACAGGAGAATTAGAGATAATATTAGCAATCCCATCGTCAATGCTGCCATTCATCAAGGAACATTCGAGCTGTAAGTGATATTGGAGGCTTCATGATTCCACAAATGAACGTCGATCCCTTTCGGTGGTTGACAGTCCGGGGTACATACAATACATAAAAGCCTTGCTGCATTCTGTAGTCTCTGTCAAAGGGATGTGAGAAAGGTTCAAATGGCATTCAGAACTTTGGCCTCTCCTCTTTTCCCCCACTCCTCCTCCATCTCCTTTTCATCCATCCCCATTGACTCCATCTGAACATCAAACGGCCAGGATCCATTCCAGACGGGCCGCTCCCCTGTTTTCCGCCTTTTCGGTGGTAGGAACTGATCTAATCCGCCACTGTTGAAGGCATCTCCATACATCTGCCAAAGATAGCCCAATTCCACCTTGAATGAGCCGTCATAGTCGGGACTCAACACGGGCCGCCGCTCAACAGCCTTGACATACGGGCCCTCGCCAAACTCATTCTTGATGTCCCCATCCACAACCTTGAGAACCTCCTCGTCGATCCAGAGACAGACATTATTTGAAACAGGGGTCGGTCCCAGCTCAGTCATGGGTTCCAATACCACTCCCCGTTCTCTGGCGAGCTGCTGCGAGTGCTGGATGCACCACTCGTCAAACCTCTCTTGAACTTGAGTGGTGGAGAGACCGCGGTACTGAGCTGGGTCCTCTAGCAGGATGAATCTGAGCCTGTTTTTGAGGTCATCCACCGGAGCAGGGTCTGGCGGGGGGAGTCCCAGAAAAGAGAAACCCTCATTTTTGATGCGAATGCAGTCTTCAACGGGCAGTTTCATCCACGATTGAGGGTATCGGAGTTCATAATCGATCGTGGAGTAGATAGTATCTTTGATCTTTTGTAACGTGCGCTGCCATGCCGGTTCAAGGGCGGGGTCGTAGCTGGTGCGAATGATCAGGTAGCCCCAGGTGGCCGTGGGGGGCCTGAGGTAGTTGCAGCGGAAACTGACAGAAGGGCGGTTCCAATCATCCATGTTGATCAGCGTATTGATTTTGATTGTCGATTCTTTTTTCCTATTTCTGTTTGCACCCCTCCAGACCTAAGAGGAGACAATCAGCACGCCACATTCCGATTCTCGAGGTGGGAAACCCCACGTCAGTCTTGGTATAATCCAAAGCTGCGTGCACAATGAAAAGGCATTTCGTGTTTGTCTGGCTTCCAAGAGCTTCGAAAAGTCTCTCCTGAGGGATAGATGTGTTAACGGCCTCCAGGCGGACGACCCCAGATGGATGTAGGGCAAATTTCTCGAAGCCGCAACAATGGGCCGGAACGCGTTTTGATCTTGGAGTCGAGTCGACAGCCGACCCCGCGCGGCGTCGTTGAGAAATGTGGGAAGCGTATTGTATTCAGGAGGATGCTCAGCTGTGTTGATCACTCAGGATTAGTCGAATTGGGCTTGTGCTGTTGTTTGTGCATGGGCAGTCCCGAGGGTTCCATAGGATCACACCACGCGAACAGATCTCCGAGTCCGGGTCCCATAACCACCTTGGAAGGGTCAATGTCGTTTCTCCAGAGCAGATCCAGAGCATCCTTGATCTCAGTCAGATTCGAGTGCGCGTTAAGGAAGCTGCCTGTCCACTTATTTCCATTATCCCAAGCCCAATGTAGGTCATAAGACATCACATTGAAGAACTGGGCCTTAGGAAGTGAGCATGCCACGCACAGTGTCGAGCACCGGAGACACCTGTCTCCTGGGTCCACCGGATATCAAGCGGAAGCGTGGTGCTGTTATTGTCAGCAGCTAGCTGCAGGAGACATCCATGATCAAATTTGACCTACTCCGGGTACTCGTGAATAAACGGATGCAATACTAAAGTGCTGTGTTATGCATTGCGTTCCAAGATATATGGCAAGTACAGTAACCCAACCACATGGGACGAGAGAGGAACTAGATAGTGCTGTGAGCGTACTTGATACACTTCATCCGAATTCCAATGGGACATCACTACAGCGTATTCCCAGAATCTTCGTGTTAACAATCTACAGCCACAATACATTCCAATAAGTATCACTAACATTGAACTAATATGTACAACAAATACATGTGTATGGACACAGGCGCAGACACACACAAATGCACAAATCAAGGCGTCCCATCATGTCTTCAAGTTTCTTTTTTCCTTTTCTTGTCTTTTGGTCGTGGAAACAATACTAGCTGAACCTGGGTATCTCTGTTCCATCACGTTGCCCTCGTAAAATCCATGAAAACATATCGGGTATGAGAATATCTCGCCTGTTCACGATGGTAGACAAGAACAGCAGCAGGGGCGCGGGACAAGTCTTCAATCATGATGAAGATGGGGGGTTGCGTAGGCGGAATAGCAGCGCAGTCGTATCAAAGGGGATAACGCAATAGGAAGGAATCAAATCATACATGCGCAGGTCTCGTCGTCGATAAGTCATAGATACCTCGGAGATTCGACAATCGAGTCTTTGGCCTCTGGATTGGTCGAGGGTCAAGAACGCGATTGACGCATTTGACCAAAGTTGTCTCAGTTGGGAAGCGCGCCAGCGTGACATCCCCCAGACAACACGGTCGACATGTACGTGCAGCCAACAGCGGCTGGAGTATGCGCTCATCATCAACTTCGTAATCAGAGATTGCTCTCGCAATCGAAGAGCGCCGCTGAAGTCCTGTCATCCGCCAGCCAACCATATTTCTATCATGCCCGTTTTATCGTATGCACATCAAAATTTTCGTCCCACGCCGAACCGGAATAATGAGAGGTCAGAACAGCTGCCGTAGTAACTGGAATGTAAATAAAATTGCAACGTTCACAAGCATCAGCGGACCAGTTGAAGCCGCAAGTGCATTGGATCACTAGCTAATGCACTCCGATTGCCGAGTTCTCAGCTCGCTCTTTCAACCGCATAGCTTGTGCTTCAAGAGACCGTGCCATCAACTTCGTCACTGATAAGATGTTAGCCATGTGTAGCAATAGCAATGGGTGATTTCGACGAACCTGGCCAGACTGCAGCCCTATCAAGGAGGCTTGCTGTCGCTATCAAAATCTTGCAGCCATAACCCCCTTCAACAACACTAGGCAGCCGTTGCAGAACGCTCAGCGCTGACACGGTGGTGTTGGTCTGCACGTCCCGTTGCATTTTGCTCTCCACACTCGTTAGAATCTCCCTGATCTTGTCCAGAAGCTTGCAATCTTCTTCTTCAAGTAACATGACGTTCGTGGCATGGGCGAGATCGACATCGTCACGCCCGAGCACACCCAAGTAAGGACCAACGCGCTCTTGAACGGTGGTGATCCATTCCGCCAGTACTTGCGCACAGTCAAAAGCACACATGGCAGCCTGAAGAGGTAGTTCCCTGCACGTGAATTCGGCAAATGTGTTCCCGAGTTGATCAGACATGGTTATTGAATCAGCCGCATAGAAGGCCGCCTTGCGCAAGTGCTTCTCGCGTTTGGACTGTCCCGGCCGGTAGACACCCATCAAGATCTGCATTGGTTGCTCCTGAGTAGGGGTCTTCGAGATAGTGAGATCCGCGACACCCAGGTCGGCCACCGAATCGCGACGACGATCTAACTCAGTTGGCACTTGAGTGATCGAGGGGTCCAAAACGTCCGAGGGAATGTCGTCCGAGTACGGGAACACTTCGGTGCCGCGGGCCAGCTCGTCTGACATGGCAATCCAGTCTCTCTGCCAGAAAGCCTCCTTGCTCCGTCCAAGATTTACAAACAGCCTGATGTAGGCCAGGTCCAGCAGTGGTATGCTATCGGCTGATAGAGGGCCTGCTCCAAACGGATTGGGCCGCTCCAGACTATGCACAGGGTTGCTGGCCCACGCAGTCTGCCACGCCCTCAACGCTGGCTCAATGTGGGCTTGCATGGCGTCTGTCTCGCGAGAGGTCCACTGCCGGCCCATGTGCCGTTGCCGAGTCTCCCAAATATAGTTATGAAGAGCATAAATGAGTACCAGGCACCCAAACGTGCTAGGCTTCAAGTCAGTGCCGGGCGAATCGGACGTCGAAACACCGTTTGTTGGATCGGTTGAGGGCGGTTGCGTAGGAGACTGCTCGCGCTGACTGGCGGTCAGAAGCGTGGTCAATGTAGACGAGAATGTCAGGCCTTTCTTCGCCGACAGATGCCCACCCATTTTCTTCCATGCCTGGGGGGACTCGGCCGCCCAGATATCCTCCTCGCACGGCAGGTCAAGGCGGATCTCTGAGTTGGTAAGCGCGGGGGCGTGGTTATAGGCCGACACGAGGAAACAGGAGAGGGTGAAAATCGCATAGAGTGTCCGCTTGCGCTCCTCGACTATCTTCCAATCCAACCAGTCTTTTCTCTCCTTCGGCGGCCCGAATGATGGGGCATTGAAGTCTTCTGAATCAAAACTCGCACCTCTCGTACCCGCTTTCCCACTCAAATGGGCGCTCAGGTAGTCCTGTGGAAGGTCTTTGGCATCGATATGATGGGTCAATCCAGCAGCCCGAGCGAGGCTGACCAGAGCAGCACAGTGGGTGCTTGCGATATCCGCTGACGTTTTATCGCCGCAGGAATGTCCGTAGATGACGTTGAGCAGCATAGCCTGGACCAGCCACAGCGGAGTGTTGTGAACTGAATTCTCGCGGGCGGGATTGGACCGCGAAAACGCAGCAGACATGTCAGCTTTCCGACGCTCCTCGAGATATAGTTGGATCATCTTCTTCGCCGCTTCAAAAAGATCTTTCGAGGCGGCGGCGTCGAATTCGTAGAGAGCGCCAATGGCCGCCATGGAAAGGATCAGACAGCCTCCGCCGCCGGCAACACCGGTAGAGCTCAAATTCAGATGGCCGCTGGGAGTACGAAGGTTGCTTGTGTATTCGGGAGCTTGAAAGTTGAGTGTCGGAATATGAAGGAACGGCATATGGGGGTGGAAATACGTGATGTACGCTGAGATATAACGCTGCATGTCTTGAGTGCTGGGGAGTTGGCCGGTGCCGTTGAAGTTGGCGGAACGTGAAAACAGGTCGCGACAGGGCACCATTCCGTTGGCTGGCTGGGAGTACTTGCGATGGTTATTGCGACCTGTGGGCAAAGCCATGCTGGCTAATAATGCCTGTCGTGTGGAGTCTGTAAAGGTATCGGTTGAGGTTGGGGCATTGTGAGTTCGAAGGGCACTGTTCGCGAAAGGCAGGTTGAGAGGATTAGGAGATTCACCGTTGGTTGCCATAGAGGATGAAAACATACTCTGCGAATGTCCTGCCATCAAGGGCTGGCCCACCGACGTCATGGAGGGAGGAGTTGCATAGGTCTCAGCAAACGGGTTCTGCGCCATCAAGGACTTGGGTGACACGGTCTCGGGAGGGATGCCTAGATCATTAAAGGTCGGAGGAGAGTAATCGATGGCGAACTGGTTTGCTGGGGCCGCCGAGTGTGGCGGGAAAGGGTTATGCCAGCCAGACGACGAGATTGAGAACCGATTGGTTCCATCCATCACGGCTTCGCTGATTCCACTTTGGCTGCCGGTGCTCATGGCGGATGGGGATGACTCATCGATCGCGGAGTCGTTATTCTGACCCAGGGACGGCATGGACGGATCGAAACCATTCATCCAGTCGAAGCTAAAGTCTTCCTCCAACATCGGATCAGTGGGGGGTTGCACCTGATGAGAGCCATGACTGAACGGGGATGACGGCGAGTCATTTCCGTAACCTTGTGGAGAACCACCGAAGTGGAGCTGAGCCGGATTAATGGTAGTGCCATGGTTCATGAAAATGTCCCCCATGCTCAGATCAAAACTGCCGTAAACAGGCGCAGTGCGAAGGCCACCGGAAAGATCCATGGGCAGACCATGGGTTTCCAGTTTCGGAAGGCTGCTGGCATAGGGATGACCTGCGCTGAAACCGCGATGAAAATCGATATTCGGACCCACTGATACCGAACCGATGCTTGGATGATGAGCGTGTCCTGGATGACCCGCAACGGCAACCGACTGATTGGGGTCGTTGTTGGCCATGTCTAGAGAAGCTCCATCAATGTGACTGATGGTATTGGCTCGAGGACGAATGCTACTGGAGTTGCCGGCAATGGAGTTTTTGCGAACGCGATTCGCTCCAGCACCTGCAGCTCCGGTACTCTCTCTCCGAGCATTTCTGGGCCGCGACGACGGGGTCGTCGTCATGTGGAGTTTCTGCTGGTGTCTCAGAAGAAGATCCCGGCGAGCAAAACAACGGGAGCAGTCAGGGCACTCGAATGGCTTCTCCTTGGTGTGCGACCGCTCATGGCGCTTCAGATGTTCTAGCCGAGCGAACGATCGGCCGCAAGTGGTACAGACATGTGGTCGGGGCTTGTCAGTCTTGGGAGGAGGGATATTAGTACTAGCACCAGGCTGACCGTTCGTATCGGTCTTCTTGGTGGTTTCCTTGGGGGCAGGCGCTGACGATTCCATTCACATTAGAAGTAGGGTTAGATCCGAAGAACCTGTCACAAACTCACCGGATGTGTCTCCAGGAATCTCGCTGATGCTTGCGAGACTCTCCAGTTTGGGGCTACTGCCCAGATCCTGACCAACCATGGCGTCCAGTAACATCCTAACCACCAGAGTTATGTATCGAAACCAGGGTCAACAGACGCTGGTTCTCAAAGGAAGAAGGTAATTCGAACCCGTGCTTATTTTTTTTCGAGAAAGACGGGGGCGCGGCTCGATTATCCGTGGTGATGCCTGCGTTGAGGCCTCAGACAGCGAAACTGCTCAAGATGAGGATAGGATTGACATCGACCACTGCAGGTAACAAGTCCATCGAATTAGCAAGTTGTTCAAGAAATAGTTCGCCATCTGTTCAGGTTGATGAAATGGCTGTGTACTGTGTGGTTTGTAGTAGTGGTACAATGGAGGGGGGAGACTACGCCCGGGACACCCACAGCAAAACAACGAATTCTTGTGAGGCTCAGAAGGAAATAGATAACAGTCGATAGGGATAGAAAATATCAATGTCGTTGAAAGAAAGGTTGACGGGATACAGAGAGTGGCGAAGTGATGCCTGGGGAATCGAGTTCGTTGAGCTCTGGATGAAAGCAGCCTGAATCAGCAGGAGGGTTAAGGTTTCGAGGATCCGGAGGAGAGTCCCAAGGGTAACAACTCACGGGTGGAAGAGCCGGATATTCAGACGAGACGAGAGTAATTCATTCACGAATATCTCGTACCATTCACCATGCGGATTTGACAGCGCTTGAGACGAAGCCTCCTAAGAGTAGGTAGTTGTTTAGCAGGACTCCTGGAGAGGTATCCGGGCATTCGTCCGACGGTGGGCTGAAACGATGGATAAGCCGGAGATAACCGAATGGGGAATAGGACCGAGCTGATGATGATAGCTGCGACTCAATTGCTGATAAGGATATTGAGTGGGAACAGCTTCGGAAGTGGACCGTAAGCAAAGACGAAGAGTGAGGAATGTCACAATAGAAGAACAGAAGAATAGGTAGAGAGGAAGAAGGTGGATTGAAAGTGGTAGCGAGGTCCCTCAAGCCGCAGAGTAAGCAGCTGTAGAGGAACAACTGTGAAGGTACCACCTTAAGAGACTTAGACAAGCAATCAATCTGGGTACGAGCGACTAGATTGGATTGAGATAGGTACGGAGTACTGTGCCACGCCTTCTCATCAAAGCACGGCTAGCGAAGTCTGTACTCTACTCTGTGCTCCAGTCCGTCCACTGTTCTGTGTAGAGTGTAGAATTAAGAATAGATACCTACGTTGTCGTACCTTGTGCTAATAATAAGTAACCACCTTCTCTGAGAGTCTTAGTAGCGTCTTACTAAGAGTCAATCAGAGAGCTGTTGACTCTACACTCTAGTATCTCTCCCTACTCTGAATACAGTGGTTCTGCGACTGTCGCGGGAGAAACCATGAAACAGCAGACGCTCTTCGTTATCAGCATCAACCAATAAGTACAAAACCAGTGGATCACTGGCACACTTCCATCGTTAGTGCGACTCCATCCAGAAGCATGGACCATGACAGGGCCAGAGCAGTAGACTGCCCCACTAATACTGGCACCTCCCCAAGTAAGGAAAGTCTTGGGGAAGCTGGAGCCTGTTGTATTGAAGTTGTAACCGTACCGTCACCGTCGGAGATTGGGTATCTTTCTTCCTGTGTATCGCCTGAGGTATCTGTTCAGTCCCTATCTACTGTACATCGGTTGTGTAAAGTAATAGTCAGTGAGGTATTTATTTGGCATTCCTCGCAGTTTCATTCAAGACCGTTTCAATAGGAATTAATAATATGTCCCAGATTGTTAGTATGAGGTCTGGACCTGACCTGTCTGCAGAAGATGGGCTGGTCGGAATGTGTCCGATATAGCTACCAGCCTAATAGCTCATTGAGATCAATAGATACTCCGTACCTGGTAGAATATGTTTGCTGCTTCAGATGACGAGAGGACCTGAATTTATGCTCTTGAAGCCACCTCTGACTCATCTCTTGATGAAGATTATGGGACAGGAGAGCTGATGCAGACTGTGAGCACAGCGTCTCTAGCTGCTTGTCCTGTTTCAATTGAGAGATTATAATAGACATTCAACAATCCTTACATAAGTTTCGTCCGTGAATACAAGTTGAGCTAACTGAGCGTCTCAATTGATGCGCTGCAGCTTCGAATCCCGGTGAGTAACTAAGAACTCCGTACCTTCGATTAAGTGGTGAGGGATATGCAGCGCCTATCTGAGTAGATAGACCGCGCACCTAGCAAACGGCTGATACACCGTCAATACGAAGAAACCTTACCAAAACAAGAACAGATGTAACTGCATTAATAATGAGACAACAGTAATCGTCGAGGAGTACCCCGGACCTCGTGACTAGCCTACGCACCCAACCGTTTCAGACAAAGATCCTCGGACGCAATGAGCGGTGGACCAGGGGTATTGAGAACTAAGAATTGGCAATTGACCATAGAGCCATGGCCCATTGGCCGTCTCAAAGTGCTCAGGAGGCCAGCGGTTAGAGGATTGGATGGGATCTTGGTTGGTACGCTTAGACCTCGGACTGGGTCCATCATCCGTGGCTCATGTGGGTGGCGGAAGGCTCCGCATTCATTGCCCCAACAAAGTCAAGAGCGGCGTAAAATCCGCACCGTTCCTATGCAGGATGGACAGGACAATTGGAAACGAAGGAACCGGATTTAGAATGGAACCAGAACCAGGCCAACGCACAGAATTGGGATTGACAGAGGAAGGTTGGTCACGAGCGAGTCAGAGACAAGTAAGCGTAATACTGGATACAATCTGTGGGACCGGGGATATGCCAATCTGGACTAACGGCTCGAGGCTTTTGTGGGGGATTTTCCTGGATCATGTCATAAGATCCATCGTTTGGTAATAATTCGTCGCTCGTTCGGCACTCACAGTGTTATAGCCGTGAGATCCGTCCTGTTCTGGTCTGGAAACTGTCAGGCAGACTCTCTGGTATCTGCTAACGAGGACAATCCTCATTGCTATCCTCGTGTGCCGAATTTGAGGTACATACTTTGCTGGAATACGGATGAATTTGTGGAGATAGCTCCCCTCCTGTCAGAGGGTCCTGGATCGCCTTTTCCCCAGAATGTTCAATCTCTATCTTGAATCTCCATCTCGCACTCTCCAGAATTCAGGGTGAAGACTTGGCGTAAGCATGGCCGTATCAACTGGGAACCAAGGTTGCACCAAATCCTCCAGAATCCCATTATTCCTCTTATTGGACGGCGTGCAATAGCCTGATCGCATTCATCCCTTGAGTGGTTCCCCAGGATATGCTAAAGATTCTAGAAACTGCAATAGGTTAAGCACTGAGCATTAGCAATGGTCATGGCCACGTTGCAGACTTCGAGCTCGGGTTCAGACCTTCTTCCACTTTTCCTTTCCGTCTCAGCCTTTCAGGATTGTGCGCTGTTGGTCCTTATTGGCGGATTAACCCGCTATTTCACTCGAGCTCATTTTTGCTCTCCTGTTGGCTTTTAACGCGGTTCGGTCCAATCTCCTCGGCAACAGTGATTTGACTTTGACTAGATACGAAGTACCTAGGAAGCTCGAAAATTGGGACGCAGACGAATGGAGAGAACAAAACGAGACCCATGTTAACAAAACAATGAAATGAGGCTCTGGTGGCATAAGACATTCAGCGGTAATGGGGTGAGTTGCATAAATGATGCTCGCTCCATATTCATCTCAGTCTGTCCTAGACCCCAAGATCTTAGGCACTATCTTTCAGACCTACGGAGTACTCCGTACAGCTATTCCGTCTTCGAAATTGAGGGATAATTAGGGCGGCCAGGATCAGCACACTGAGAATGAGAATATTTCCATCCCAGCTGACTGGCGGCAGATCTGAGTCACTTCTCAAAGCAAAATGCCCAAAAGAGGAAAATGATGTGGCAGGTAAGGTACCGTATCCTCAGGTAGTAGTTGGCTGAGTTTCCAGGATCCCTCATCCCACGTTATGACGTCTTGTTGGGGGTGTTCCTTTCCGACATCAGTCGAGAGTACCTAGCAGTCAGAATAAGTCCATTCAGAACAAGTTGCGATGTGTCCATTAAGAAGAGTATTTGACAATATCAATCAATCACTTTGAAATGATGCTTCAATCAAATGTAGGGAATAATTGTGATCATGAAATCAACTCCTAAGCTTGGAGTCTTTTCGCACGGGCCTCGGATGATCACGACCCTGGACGCCTCAGGCCACACATAGCCCAGCGGTCCTGCAGAAGCTCGAGCATAGTGAGTCATGTGGCTTTGCAGTGATTCTTTTGAATATCGATTTTGTTGCCTGAGGTATAGATACATAAGCGCTTAGCAAGACTCCTCGCCTATCGGTTCTCAGTACTCCGATGCCATCTTGCTCAAATCAAGTTGCCATCATGCCATGTATGCTGTATGCATCCAGATTCTTTCGAAACAGTGTGACTAACCAGTCACATACTGCGATACAGCAACAAACTCAGAGATCTGTGCAATCTCCAACTAATGTCCATCATCAGGCTCTGCTGTCGAGATGGCCACTCGCCACAGATCTACAGACGATGGTGTGCGAGTATCCTACTTCCAACGCCAACCAACAGTGCCACACACGTACTCCGTGCTGCACAGGAACAATGAGCATTGTCGATCATTCGGCTTCATCCCGATCTGACTTCCGAGGGAATTCTCCGAGCTCGTGCATATCATGGTCTACTGTTTCGAGTACTGCGTGGGTAAACAAAAAGCATAGACTAGTCTACTGCATGGTCTTCGACAATCAGGGCGCTAGATGGCCATTGCTTGAGCTGGTGCGCATCATGGTATCATGCATCAGTGACTAGGCATTCTGCATCATCACCATTAAAGAAACCAATCCACACCTCAACCTACTCGTTGCTTCGTACTGAGCAGGTGCAATACACTATCCCTGAAGACACCAAGACTCGACCTCAGATGGACCGCAGCTAGCGTCTTGCGCGGGCAATCACTAAATCACTAACAAGTAATCAGTTATCTTTGACACTTGCTTGCGACCCGCAACAATGATTCTGCAGGCCCAGCCACAGTATGATCATCTCCTGATTGAACGGCAGATATCTATTGCGAGTTGCGACCTACCATGCTGCACTGACCAAGTGGGTGGTGGACATTGATCCCTGCTAGCTCTGCACTTCTCATCAAATCGGCGTATCACAGCTAGAGGAGAGAATCGTCTAATGCATCTGCTAAGAATTAGTTCTCTTGTCGACATTTACCGGCCTCGAACCCACCCCACGTCAGAGTATCTACCCGTTTCAGTCTACATTATCATTTGTAGCCTGACTGCCTCAGACATCAGAATTCAGGACGGTGGCTGTAGCTGATGAGGACGGGGCAGAATTGCACACAAGAAATCAAAATGCCAGAGCAGCCTAATGATTCCTGTCGCTGTTCGTAGCATTCGCTGGACTGTATGCAGCCAGTCTAGTCTACAGCGGCTGCATGCAACTAGCCATGTACGTGCTTCCGTCTGTGGACCCGAAGCGTCTGATCCCGATTGCATGACTGTCCCTGGGTAGTGCACAAAGACACAGACACAGACTCGACGATGACTTGTAGTTGCCAGTTGCCACCTTAGATAGCCTCTTTCTGTACTGAGCATCGAAGCGAGTCATACAGAGTATAGAGTACTGGTACATAATCGCGATTCGCTCGGAGTACTCTGACGACAGCGACATTGACGATGCACAAACGAAGGCCCGTTCCTGGTCGCAACTCGCAATTGATCCTGCCGCTAGTAATATATGTGGCTATGCTCTAGCTAGTAGCTACTGAATAACTATGACTAGCGAGAGCGCGATGCTACCTTACCTTGCCGAGTGGAACTATGACAGAGTACCTGCACTCAGCAGCATCCTGGATAAACACCTGAGAGACATAACAACCGATAATTATATGAGCGTCGAACGTGTAAATGTAAGGCCATCTCGTCAACGACAATTAAGGGCCTATCATCAAGACAACAGATACATTGTACTCCGTACACCTACCTTTAGCTAGGATACCTTCACCAACAGCACCAGCACAGTAAGACAGTCCCTGCAGGCAATACACAAAGGTAATATCTACCCAGCACAGCACCAGGCTAGAACCGCCTCTCCGTGACTACAGAGAAAGTATTAATCCGCTACTGGAGAAGCATTGATCACTACTTGCGTTGGCCCTGGCTCTGGCCAATGCAGGTAAACATGACCAAGCGCATCGCAACGCATCGCATAGTGTGATTTTACGATCATCACCGGACTTGACTAGTGACTACGGAGTAGACTACTCGAGATGCGAGAAGTAAGCCCGGAGAAACGCCGATAGGGACTATTATCGTCCCTGGGACGGGGACATATGTGCAGAGTACCTCCATACGGTACGGAGTACTAGTAGCAGTATCGTTGCTGTTGGCGTGCATTAGTGGTATTGATCGGCCGAGTGACGATAGTGTGGTGGGTGGTGCATGGTCATGGTCATGGGGGTGTGGGTGTAGCTAGAGCAATGGATGGTGTGCAGATTGCAGATGAGGACTTTTGCTTGTAGCTCTTGCCACAGGCATGATGTGGAGGCGAGTTTCTGTTAATGTTTTATTGAAGTCGCACCAGTTGCTGGTATCAGTTGTCATTTTATGTCTCAAGTTCTGTAGTGAAGGCAACAGCTGCCATGGGATGGTAGTCAAATGTAAGGTAGTTGATTCACCTCGAACGCCGCATCAGAGCTATCTACGTGAAGAAGTAGGAAAAAGCACCACTTTTATACCGATCTATACAAGAAGCCTCTCAAAGGAGTACTTGCCCGCAGCCTTGCGTCGCAGATATCCAATCTCACGGCTACTCCGAGTCTTTACCTCTCCCGTAGACTTCTTCACCTTCGTCTTGCTCACGTCCGTCGTCGGAGCCTTGAGCGACAGCGGAAGCATCTTTCCGCTCGCGTCAATGTCATACCCTTCGTCACCCTCGGGGAGTCCAAACACCATCAGATCTGCCCCGTTGAGTTTCTCGTACCGGACGAGCCCGGAAGACGTCTCCTCATCTCCGGCTTGCTTGGCCACATCGCCCGTCTTGCCTTTGGCTGAGGGATGGGTGAGGCTGTTCGTGAAGCGGAGGTATTCGCGGAGTATACCCTTGAGGTATGTGGCTTCCTCGACTCCCGCAAGCGCAGCGGAGATCTCAGACTTCATGTCGGCGATGAGGTCGAGCTCTCTCGTGCTGGCGTCGTCGAGACCTACCGCTGAGATCCATCCTGAAGGACCGATGGCGTCGATGGAGGCGCTCAGCAGATTTGTAATGGTGTCGAGGGAAAGTGAGGGTGTAGTTTGTTCGGGAGAGAAGGGGCTGGGTGGGTTTTCGGTGAAGCGCGAGGTATACCCTCCAGTCGCTAGGCAAAGGCGGAGATGATGGACGATGGAGAGCAGTTCGGATCTGGAGAGGGCAGAGCGAAAGGAACTGACGATCGTGGGGAATGGTTGGTTGTGAATCTTCTGCAGCGTGGTGTTGAACCCTATGAAGATATCTTGCAAGCTTGCCTCGGCATTCTGCAGGGAAACCTCCTTGCTGGTATTTGAGTTCTCATCATCATTTGTCAGAGCCTTGGTGGCCTCCTCCAGAACCATGGAATGCGACCGAGCCATGGTCAGCAAGACCTTGAGGGCGTAGGCGAGCTCGTCTGCATTGAGGAGTACCGACCCTTGGAGGACGTCAATGAAGTGATGTAGCGACCGATCGGAATCGATCACAGCTTGAGTAAATGACCCCGTCGGCAACGGCGGCAGAATATGCGGTTTCTGAACTCGTCTCAGAGCAATCTCAACACTGCTGAGAGAAAAGTGTCCGAGCTGAATGAGCCATCTGCAGGTCATCTCCGGCCAGATGCCAATGGTCAAGCGGGAGTCCGACGTAGCCGACAGCTTGTCCTTGCTTCTTGCTTCTCTGAGAGAAAAGATCTTGGATAGCAGAAAGAGCACCATTTCTGGGTTCACGTAGTGTTCTGGTGCAGGCAAAGCCTTGGGAGCGCCGACTCCGAAATAATCGAGGACCGCGTCATCAAACGCAGCGCTATCCTTGGAGTTGAACGATTTTTCTACCTTCTGTGTAAACTCCTCCCACTTGCCAACCTGTTCAGGGGAAGTAAGACCTAGCGATGCCATGTATTCGGTGCGATTCTTCTTCGAAGATGCGTCCCCTTGGAAGGCGGGTGAGCCAATGCCGCGCCCAATGGCATCGATGAGAAGACCATCCCTTGGCCGTTTCAGGGAGGAATGCAGGGAACTAGTCGACGAGCTCAGATCAAATGCAAAAAGAGCATTCCCTTTGATCGCAACGGCGACACCAAGTTTAGCGAAGTAGCTGACAAATACTGTCCGCGACTTGGAGCCACCAGAAGGGACACTGTCCACTGCGATGCTGCGCTGGATGGATTGATATTGTGTGTCGAACAGGGCGACAATCGATTTGCCAGCGGCAATCACTGATTGGGGGGAGATGCGCATCAGAGAAGAGAAACTTTCGTCTTCAAGGATGAACCGCGTTGTCACGGTCGGCGCATACTGGGAGATGTCAATGTTGACAAAGCCCTTCTCGAACGACAGATTCAATCCCGCCGACCCGGGATGGAAGTACCACTGCAGAGAGCTGCTATCGAATGTCTTATGCTCATCGATGTCGGGCAAACTTATGGTTTGCAGATGTCTCAGCTTCTGGCTTTCGTCAAGAATCCGCCCTTCCGTGGGTGCATTCGATGGAACAGAAAATATCTGAACCTGAACATCACTCAAAGCGATCTGCTTCGAACCGGTCGGGTGTGACACAAGCAACAACACTGAAGGCTCATCTACTCCAGAGTCGGTCAAATCCCCGAGAGCCAGAGCGACCAGATCTTGTCTTCTTTTGAATAGATATTTCTTCGCATCGTCAAAGTCCACCAGAAAGCAGGAATTGACTTCGTGAGTTGAGCGGATCTTCGCGATCTCGCTATGGTTGACACACCACCGCTGAGTCTTAAGGTCAGACGTCAGCCTTCGTACGAAACCATCCTGATGCACGGTCAAGATATCAAATGAGTCCTTTTCGTCATCTTCTGTAGGAGCGGTAGGGACAATGCCGACGAAAACCGTAGGACTGCTCGAATCGCTCACGGAGAAGGACGAAGACGAAATGACTGGCGCACTCGATCCAGTGCCCCCAATTTCTTCAACAAAGGCTTTGATTTCCCGTTGAGGTCCCTCCACGGCTCCGAAAGTTTGTCTTTTCACAACCGATTTTTTCATGAGCTTTCTGCGCACTGAGCATGGCCGACAGGAGAATGAGGATTGCGGTGGGACAGCATATGAGGTAACGAGCTTGGGGGTTTGTATCTAATGGCACAGCTAATTAGCTCAACGTTCTCCTAGAATTTTTCACATATATATTTGCTCACATTGTAGATGTTCACAGCCTCCCCATCGACCGCAACAACGACCTCATATCTTTTTCGCTTCTTCGATTCGGCCAAGCTATACACTTCACCGACCTGGGTTTTACCAGTAGATGCATGCAAAGGGCGAGGCAATTGAGCCAGCACTGAGGGCGGCTGTAAATCCATCACGGCAAATAAAGACACAAGAATGCTCGTGTTGCGCGACCGTTGCCGCTAAGTATTCAAGCATACACAGCTTGCTGGACAAATTCATTTTGATATCGCATTCTGAAAAATTTCCGGTCTTACGTTGTCCCGGAATCCGGGGCTATCCTCTCTTCGGACTAGCGTCATTCGTATGGTAAATGACGTACGGCAGAAAACGAATGGCCCGCGCGGTCAAAAAACACGCGCTTCTTCGCGTTGCACTTTGGCGTTATCCATCGATCCAGGCTTCAATTGATTGTCTCCTTCAAGTCCCAATCCCCTCTCGGCCTGACAGCCTTTGCTGTGGAGGACCCAGCATCTCCTTTTTATGTTCTCATCTTTCTGTTTCTGTCTTCTTTTGTGCCTCAAGCCATTCTCGTCTAATCTTTAAGCGATGAGCATTGATCCGCTTATCGAATGAGCGCACTGCAGCCCATGGCCATGGGACAAGGCGAGCAGCCAGCTATCCGCCCGTTTTTCCAAAGACAAAGAGGTTCACGTCTTCCTCCAATGGCTACATCCAAGTTTACTTATCATCAGCAGACCTCGGAATTCCTAAACGCACCACAGAAGATGTCGTTTCATCCCAGAGTGCCCGCGAAGCTGAAGCCAGGTTACCTGTACAATTCTCGGCACAATCAAACACTTCCCCGACTTGCTCCATACCTACTCCGCAATCGCTTGATTCCATGGTGCTAGAACATGATCCCAATTCAGCACGAAGGAAACGGCGAAAGACTGAAGATGTCAATGAGGGAACACGCAAGGCTTCCGCTGAGAATGAACCGCGTCAAGGCGATAGCGCTGTGCTGCTGGATCAGCCCCTCGCTACATTGAATACGCCCAGTGATAAAACCCATTTCAACCCCAATGTTGGTGTCAATAATGTCACTCTCCCGCCTGGTGTTCCGGATGTCGCCAGCAGTGAGCCTTTATGCGGACCGAACTCTGCTTCAGACCTCCACAACCCCGGTAGCATGATTGCTTCTACTGCAATGCCGGACCCAGCAGACGGGGCCTTACAATCACGTTCCCCGCCGCAGAAGACCATGAAACTCAACGCTAATGGGAAACTCCTGAGTTCACCTGTCGCGAAGCAATCAGACGATGCTTCTCAGAAGAAGAGAAGGAGCAAGCGTACCAAAACAGGAAGCCAAAGGTCGGAGCAGAGCACGAAGAAATTGGTGGTCCTGAAATACGCCAGCGAACCGGACAAGACCAGAAATATAGGGCAGCTCATTAATAAGATCATCTCCGGCCACACAAAGTATATCCCCTCCAGGACAACTGTTCCGCCTGTGTCAGTTGCGAAAAAGCCACAACCACCAAAAACTACGCACCCGTTCTTCTTAAAACCTGCTCTGCGCAAGCCAGACCCTTGCGCTGAAGCTTTACCTCCGTCAAGTCTCCGCCAAGGAGCACCCGGCGCGGCATCAATACCAGAGGCAAAGCATGATGTTACGGGCTCTGCTAGCCAGCCGAGGGTTTTCTCTTCATTCAGGCCGCGTCCAAAGTTCCCTGAATCAATCCACCCGGTTTGGCCCCCTAGGGGCCTCGGTCACATTCGGGGCATTTCCGGGGACTCAGACCGGCAGGATGAAGATTTGTCTTATCCTCTGAATTTTGATCAGAAGAAAGCAAAGATGGCCGCGGTTCGAATACTTGATGAGGAAAGTATACTACGTACGTGGACAAATCCGAATATGGATGTCCCGGCAGCCTTACGTCTACCTCAGAGGCACACGGCGAGCGGAAGGGACCTGCAGCAAGCAATAATACCTGAGCTTTCCAGATCCGCTTTTGCTGATACGGCGAATTCAATTGTCAGTCATCCTGCTATTTCAAGAGTGTTCTCGTCAATTCCACAATCCTTGACTGCCTTTGATCGCGGCGAATACGACACGAGCTTGTGGACTCAAAAATATGCTCCTGAGTCTGCAGCCCAGGTTCTTCAGACGACCAAAGAAGCATTGATGCTGCGGGACTGGTTGAAATATCTTATGGTGTCCGCCGTGGATACAGGAAAGCCCGCAAAAGACGTTGAGAACGCCAAGGAGAAGGCTGTCGACAAAAAGCGGAAAAAGAAGCGCAAGAAGGCAGACCAGCTTGACGGATTCATTGTCGACAGTAGTGATGAGGAGTATGAAATGAGTGAGGTTACTGATTCTGATGATGATGAGTTAGCAGGTGGAGTAACAGTCTCTTCTAAAAAGACAGTCATTCGGTCGGGCGACTCAGACGGTGTTTGGAGATCCGGCGCAGGAAAACACCGTGCGTCCAATGTAATACTCCTCAGTGGTCCTCCAGGATGCGGTAAGACTGCCTCCGTGTACGCAGTGGCCAAAGAGCTTGATTTCGAAGTTTTCGAGATCAACCCTGGGAACCGACGGAGCGCTAAGGACATTGTGGAGCGTGTCGGTGACATGACACGGAATCATCTTGTGCATAAAGTGACTACCGGTGAGGATACTTCAAATGATCTCTCGCTGGGTGTCGGCTTTGATGCTCCAGCACCAGACGAAAGCAAACAAAACAAGCTCATGGGGTTTTTCAAGCCTGCGGCTGGGAAGAAGCCCAAGAAGGACAAGAAAGCCGGCCAAAAAGATTCGCGGCAGGAGGTCGATTCGAAACGTGCACGGAGTCAGAAGCAGTCCCTCATTCTTCTAGAGGAAGCGGATATTCTCTTCGAGGAGGACAAGCAGTTTTGGTCAGGGGTTATGGCCCTCGTCAGCCAGTCCAAGCGTCCCATCATCATCACTTGCAACGATGAAAACCTCATCCCTCTTGAAGAAATATCATTTCATGCAATCTTACGGTATAAGCCGCCGCCCCAGCGTCCCGTTGTTGACTACCTTCTCGTCCTCGCAGCAAACGAGGGCCATATGCTCAAGAGGGAAGCCGTCGACGACCTATACGTGGCTACGGGAAGGGATCTTCGGAGAACAATCATGGATTTGAACTTTTGGTGTCAGATGGCCATCGGAAGCGAAAAATCGGGGTTAGATTGGATAGTAGACCGATGGCAGAAAGGCGCAGCCATCGATCAGAATAGGGATCCATTGCGGGTCATCAGTCTGAATACGTATGAACCCTCTATGGGCTGGTTCGGTCGCGATATGCTGTTGGACAACACACTTGACAGCCGCATTGAGTCAACGCGAGAATTATTGTACTGGTGGCAAGTTAGTCTGCAAGAATCAGAGGAAATGGCAGACTCGAGTTCTGAGATCGTGTCATCGACACGGACCACCAAGTCTCATGCCACAAACTTTGAACGTCTTCAAGGGTTGGAGCTTCAGTCTGATTATGCCGATCTGCGGAGCGTTCTGGATGTACTTTGCGCTCGTTGCTCTCTCAACCAAAAGCTGGTACGTTCTGTTTCCCTAGAAGACAGTTCCAAGGCTAATCTTATAGGACTCGATTGATAACACAATACCTGCTATTTCTGACAAGCAAAGAACGAACTATATCGAGGGTTATCCACTGCTGCAGGCAGATCTCGTGCCCGATTACTCCTCCCTTTCGGCAAGCATTGGAAGTACATTCGAGGTCTATATGGGACAAGTTTTCCGAGATGAGCATCAAAAAGATATTGAATCTTCCCAGGCACGGAACGTCTTGGAGAATGTTGTCGCACCGCGACGTGCCGGCACATGCAAAGCGACTTTACTAACAGCGTTTGAGCCTCTCAGGCGAGCCGATCATCTCTTCCCTGCCCCTACAGGCCGGCTAGCGCCCTCGTTTGAAAATGGACTTGGACCTCTATCTGAGGACCTAGCACCGTACATCCGTGCTATAATGGCGTTTGACCTTCGTCTGGAACAGTACCGACTACAGTTGAGCGGTCTCCTCTCCCAAAATGCTGATGGCAACAAGAGAATGCGAAAGACAAGGGCAAGCCGAGCGGCACTAGAAGGGGGTAGCAAGGCAGAAACACGAAAAGAACGATGGTTTCCGCCTGGTACAAACCCGGCGTTGATTCTAGCTACAGGGAATAAGGAGTGGCAGGATCTCTTGCTTCGAAACGGGCATTTTACAATGGCCTCTATGAGAGAGTCCAGCAAGGAATGCAGCGATCTTGCGTCAGAAAGCTCCGGTGATGGTGGGATCTAAGGGGGATGGATGTACACCATCGAACATGACGTATATTAGACCCGAGATATATATGTGAATTATGAGGATACCTAGAAATTATGCTTGTATCTATAAATGCATCATTTTGACGATGAGGTTTTTCGTCGATAGGCCATCCCCAGGAAAGATGTCACCAGCATTGTTTATCTATCGAACTATCGTCAAACTCGAATAGTGGGCACTCTGCGGTGGATCCACATAACGACATCACCTGCGGGCCCCAGGCTTTTTCAGCTTCATGCTCTCGACCCTTATCACCGGAGGAGAAGCAGAGCTTAGCTGGCACTAGGCCGGTTGTTGAACTCCATCTTTTACCTCAATTCATTTTGGGTCTGTCCGTTGATTTGCAGAGGACGATTGCTTTCGCGGCCCTCGGTGTTGTCCGCCACTTATCTCTCCCAGCCTCCGACCGAACTCCGCTCCCCAAACTTGGAACTGGGATCATCGTCAACAGATCCGTGACGCATCGCGCACTCGAGATTGTCCATAATGTCCTTGTTTGGGACGTCGCCAGAAGATCCCTCTGTGGATGATACAGTCCATCAGAGGTCCAGATCTTCGCTTTTCGCTGATGAGCCATCGTTCGGTGGAGCTGGAGCTGGAGCTGGAAGCTCCGCCAACCTGGGCTCGTCCTCCCTCTTCGCCGATGACGACGGGTTCCAGTCGAGCTCGCCCTGGAATAGCAACGCGAACAAACGGGCCGCCAGACACGAGCTCGTGAAGACTCTCCTGCCTGACGCGGATGTTCCCGAGAGCTATATTGACGCATATGACCTTGTGCTTAATGAGGGGGATCGTGTCGGGAGCGTCGTGGGCTTGACCTCTGTGCGGGAAATACTGTCGAGCAGCGGGCTCAGCGCCAGCGACCAGGCGAAGATTTTCAATCTCGTTGTTTCGGGCGACGGTGATAGCTCGAACGGGCTTGGTCGCGGCCAGTTCAACGTCTTACTGGCGTTGATTGGCCTCGCGCAGGAAGGGGAGGATCTTACGTTTGATGCAGTGGATGATCGACGCAAGAGTATAACGCCTTGATTATCATGGCTAAGTCTGTAAGCTTGCTAATGCCATTATAGAGCTTCCGCTACCAAACAGCTCCTACCTTGATGGACTGCGCGACAGACAACAACCCTCTGCACCCTCTCACCCCCAAGAACGGCCAACCACTCCTCCCCCTCCTGCCCCTCCTCCCGCGGCCATGAATGATCCGCCTTCCGCGCGCTCGCGACAGTCCAGGGAATCTTTGGGCGGCTTGGAGGCCGATCCATGGGGTAGCCCCCAGCTACACCGCGGTCATAACCATGCGCAGACTGAACCCGAGCCTCCAGTCCTCAACGGCTTCGGAAGTGTGCGATCGGCGACCAATGCCTGGTCCAATAGGGCTGGTGGGGATGAGACACAACATGAAGTACCGAGCGGTGACCGTGCAAATGGGCGCACAGACGGTGCGCCCTCCACCAGCTCCGGGTCCGGATGGGGGGAGAGTTATGGCAATACGACTGCTGCTGGTGGCTTTGGCGGACCGGTCCGAGCTGGACTTGGAGATTTCGGTGCCCCCAGTAGTGAACAGGATGAGTCCAACGCCCGACAGCGATCGGGCAACGGCACTACTGCGAATTCACAGGTGGAGGAGATTGTGACAGTCAACCTGCTACTTGAGAAGGAGGGCATGTTCATGTTTCAGCATCGCAACTACGAGGTGAAATCGGCTCGAAGAGGTAGCACGGTGATTCGACGATACAGTGACTTTGTCTGGTTGTTAGATTGTCTTCAGAAACGATACCCTTTCCGACAACTTCCTTTACTTCCACCAAAGAGAATTTCAGGTACGTCAGAGCACAGGCTTGCTACAAGCTCTCCTCAAAGCTTACTCACTTATTTCCATCGTTTGAAGTCAATGGCACTCACCTTTCAGCGGATTCAAACTCGTTCCTTGAGAAGCGGCGCCGTGGCCTCGTGCGGTTTACCAACGCACTCGTCCGTCATCCTGTTTTAAGCCAGGAGCAACTCGTGGTTATGTTCTTGACGGTTCCTACGGTGTGTGGATCTTCCGGTGTCATGGCATACGAGAAACTGACTTGCAGCTAGGAACTCTCAGTCTGGCGCAAACAAGCCACGATCTCGGTACAAGACGAATTCACGGGCCGGGTCCTCCCTCCTGATCTTGAGGACTCATTACCCGCTAATTTGACGGATATTTTTGAGACAGTCCGTAGTGGCGTGAAGCGCTCCGCCGAAATCTACATCAACTTGTGCACACTGCTCGAGCGATTGGCCAAGCGCAACGAAGGACTTGCCGCGGACCACCTGCGGTTCTCGCTCGCATTGCAGTCACTCACAGAAGTGACTAGAGATACATACGCTGTGGATACCAACGATGTTCCTATACTCAACGAGGGCATCATGGCTACGGCCAGGCACCTCTCCAACAGCCAGAGTCTGTTGGAGGACGAAGCCAGGGCATGGGAAAATGGTGTACTTGAGGACTTGAAGTTCCAGCGGGATTGCCTTGTCAGTGTGAGAGAGATGTTCGACCGACGGGACCGATACGCACGAGACAACATACCCCAACTGGAGCGACGGATTGAGAGCAACGAGCGAAAGCTGCAGGACTTACGGTCACGCCCCCAAGGGGCGGTGAAACCCGGGGAGATTGAGAAGGTCGAAGAGTCGATATTCAAGGTATGAAACTTTTTTTTTCCTTTTCTCACCTTTTTGTTCGCTCTAGATTTTATGTTTGCTTTTTCCTTTTGCCTCGTCTGCTTCCTATTCTGATGCCATGTTTTCTTCTAACACGATGCTTTGCTGGCACGGCAGGACAAGGAATCAATTGTGCAGCAACACGCGAGAGGAGTCTTCATCAAAGAGTGTATCCGAGACGAGCTGGTACATTTCCAGCGCAGTCAGTATCACATCAGCCGGCTTCATCAGGATTGGAGCCAGGAGCGAGTGAAATACTCCGAGCTGCAGGCGGACAATTGGCGGTCATTGAGTGATCAGGTGGAAGGGATGCCTTTGGGCGAGTGATCAGGAGTTGTTGCTTTCTTTTTGCGTTTCACATACTCCGTATATGGCTCCTATATCGGAGGTTTGTTCTTTTCAACTGCGTCTACCAAGCATGTCTGTGTTATTCCTGTTGCTCAGCCTGTTGTTATTGGATAGTTCTTTTTTTTTTTTTTTTTCTTGGTTCCGTTCTCAATCGATCGTCTCTGATTCGTAAGTATGCTTGATTGATTGACGTTTCTCATTTCTGGACTAATCTTGAGTACGGTATTTGGTTGGGGTTGGGCTAGCATTTGATGCGTGTGATATGTACCCTGTATGCATGGGCAAGCCCGAACCTCCGCCATTTCTCAGTTCTCTCTGGCTTTGTGTGCTCACCCTCAGCTACTGTATGGACTTGAGTGCTCTGCTCCAAGTCTGAACTCACTGAACTGGAAGAGACCGGACTGCAGTGGCCAGGATCAATACAAACTACCCTATCAGGATCGAGTTCAACAATGGAGATCTCCAATGGGATTACAGCTCCTGACTCCAAAGACCCACCAAAAACCAGCCGGGCACCCATGAGTGGAGCACAGTGCGGAGTCTTTCTTGGCTCTGTAGCCAATGATACTGAGGGATCGTCACATACCTGGGCAGCCTTGCAAGGCTGGTGCAATTGATTTGAGGTTCTGACTCGGAGATGTTGTCGATGTGGAATATTCCAGAGTGGCTGGGTTCATTTACACGGAGTACTCCATAGTTATCTACCTAGATATACGAAGTTGTTGAAAGCGTCTCAGAGGTTGCCTTGTTTGCAATTGAAATGGATACATCCGGAGGCCCACGCTATGCCTGGGAATGTTGTACTACCTATCACTCACCCCTGTTATAGATCCCATGTGGCCCAGCGACAGGTGCATAGTGTAGAAGTGTAGATACTGCAGGTGTCATTGTAAACAGGTCCGAGTCTGATCCGATCCATCACAGCAGTTTCTTTTAATTCTGTGTACTTGTGTATGAGCAGACTTATGTCAAGAGTAGTTCTCTCCAAATAGCATGAATATTGACTCTAAAGACCAAGGCCTGACTAATGCGCCAAGGACAGAAATTGTTCGTTCCGCTTTGGGACTGGTGGGGCGACGAGAACGCGAATTGCGAATCGCCGCATCCCCGCTGGGTCCTCAGGCAGTAAGGCTGCCGCCTCCGTCATCGCCCTTCACCTTCCATTTGCTTGCGATTTTCGCATTTCTTCGGCAAACTCGCTACAAACGGCTCTTGGTCTTGCCTGTCGGGAAAAGAAAAAGAAATTATCCTGCCTATCGCCGTCACATCCACTCGTCTTCCCCAGAACAAAGCGAACAGTAAACACTGCTCGTTATGAAATTCCCGGTTGGGGTCTTGGGTTCCGTCGTGGTCGTCTTGGCTCCGGGTCGTTGAATTTGCTCGCTTCCTGGTGAGTTGCGTCTGCCCAGCGTCTTGTCTTTCCTCCGTTTTCTGTTTCTTGTCCTTTCTTGTCTCTTTCTTGTCGTCGCTTGTCCTTGCTTGGATCTGTTTTTCCCTTCGCTTTTCCTCCTCCGTTGCTTGTTGTTTCCTGTCTGTTCTGAGGGTGAGTACAGAGGCGATTAGCGTGCTTTCCAGGCTATCGATTTCCTTATCTGGTAATGCCTGCTTCTCTTCTCTCACTCCTGTTACTGGCAGTTGGGCGAGGGGTCTTCGGGTCTTCGGCCGACGTTCCTTGCTATTGTTTTTCTCCGTCCACCTATTGTTTATTCTGTCCTGGTTGCTCATGCGCCAACTGTCGCAGAATAAAAGAGCTGACGATAATCGCAAATAGGCATAGGGAAAGCTCATTCGATCGTTTTCGCTGTTTTCTATTTCGGAACTTCCTTCGTGTCATCTCGCAGAAAGGTATGCGGAGAAACGGGATTACGCAATCCTGGAGCGGAGTTTATATCTGTAATTGCACGTTCCATCAGTCGGAGAACGTGGAGGTATCGCTACCCGCGTAGGGATCGGAAAAAAAAGCAACTAGATTCACACCGGGGAAGCACTGAGGAAGGTATAACGGTACCGCTAGACTAGAGTTGTCTCCTTCCCTGCGGTAATCATGGCGTGGGATCACTTGGACATCGATAAGCCTCACCTGGCGTACATGATCCTCGGCGGCTTCACCGGGCTGTTCATGCTTTGTTCCCTCTTCGTCAAGGAGAAACTATACATCGGTGAAGCAACTGTGGCCACGCTGTGTGGCATCATCTTTGGCCCCCATGCTGCCAATCTGTTCGACCCATCCGAATGGGGCAACGTCGACAAAATTACCCTCGAATGTTCGCGCATCGTCCTTGTCGTCCAGTGTTTCGCCGTCGGCGTCGAGTTGCCCAAAGCGTACATGGAACGTCATTGGAAATCCGTCTGTCTCTTGCTGGTGCCCGTGATGACCTGGGGCTGGTTGGCCACTAGTCTGTTCATTTGGTGGATGGTGCCTCCACTCAACTGGCTGGAAAGTCTCGTATGCGCTGCTTGCGTGACGGCCACCGACCCCGTCTTGGCCTCTTCGGTTGTCGGTAAGGGTAAATTCGCCAAGCGAGTCCCCAAACATTTGCGAGACCTTCTATCCGCCGAGTCCGGCTGCAACGATGGCATGGCATTCCCGTTCATCTATCTCGCGTTCTACATCCTGCGCTATCGCCCCGACGCAGGAAGGGTGTCGCTCAATTGGTTCTGTGTGACGATTCTCTATGAGTGTATCTTTGGTGCAGTCTATGGTTTCACCCTTGGATATATTGCTCGCCATGCCATCAAGTTCGCCGAGCGTAAGCAGCTGATTGATCGCGAGAGTTTCTTGGTCTTCTACTTCGTGCTGGCCGTGTTCTGCGCTGGCTCTGGAAGTTTGCTGGGCATGGATGATCTTCTGATAGGCTTTGCTTGCGGCGTTGGCTTCAGCAACGATGGCTGGTTCACTGAGAAGACCGAGGAGTCTCACGTATCCAACGTCATTGACTTGCTTCTCAACCTGGCATACTTTGTCTATTTCGGGGCTATTATCCCCTGGGAGAACTACAACAACCCGGATATTGGCCTTGTGCCCTGGAGACTCGTAGTCATCGCTATTCTGGTCATCTTCTTCCGCCGGATTCCCATCATGATGATACTGAAACCAATCATACCAGACGTCAAATCATGGCGTGAAGCTCTTTTCGCGGGCCATTTCGGACCCATTGGTGTCGGTGCCATCTTCGCCGCAATTCTGACCAGGGCTGAACTCGAAAATGATAACACTCAGCCGTTAGCTGAGTCGCAATTGCCCAAACCGGGGGACCCCGACTATTATATAGTGCAGCTGATCTGGCCTATCACTACCTTCATGGTCATCTCGTCCATTTTGGTTCACGGTTCGTCGATCGCCGTCTTTACCCTTGGAAAGCGTATCAATACCTTGACCATCACGCTGTCGTACACGACGGCCAATGAAGAGGGTCCCTCTTGGATGAACCGGCTGCCTCGCGTACAGTCTTTGGCCAAAGGTTCAATGTCCTTCCGCAAGGCAGACGAGCTGGGTGATTCGTCCACTGAGCCGGAATACCCTCCTGGAACTCTTCCGCCTATTGGCGTTCCCGGTAACTTTTTGCGACGAGTTCGTGAGGAAGAATCAGAGACGCCCACCGGTCGACCTTCTAGTCGCAAGCCTCGAAGACGCCGTAGGCGGGATGATGGAGCTGGAGGTCCGGTCACCCAGTCAGCCATTATGCCTCAAAGGTCGGTCGAGACTGGTGAAGAGACTGAGAAACTAAAGGAGGAAGCCGAGGAGCGCGACAAGATTGAACGGGGAGGATCTCCGCCAACCCACGAGCGTGATCGATTCGGCCGAGAGCCTGTCTTAGAGGTGTACCTGGAAGGCCATACGATGGTCATCGAAGACGAAGAAGGCAATGTCCTGAAAATGGAAGACATTAGTCATATATCACCCGAGGAACGGCAGCAGCACATTGAAGAACAAAGGCTGCGGCTGCAGAAGGATAAGTCAGGCGGACTGGCCAAATCCAGAAGCCAGCCACATGAGAAGACGGAAGGAGAAGAAATCCAACATGCAGTGGAAGCGGCGGCCAGTGTCCCGCTAGGAAAGGCTCGCAAGCAGATTGGCAAATGGGTCGGTTGGGGCAAACGCCGCGGCGAGGAACCGGAAGGCAAGGAGGCGAAGACAGCTGCGGAGAAGAAATCGACCGAAGGGCCTGGCAAGTTGACCAAGGGCAAAGCTCGGTCGGCTCACGCGTATCAGTTCGGCAATACCATCATCGTCGAAGATGAGGATGGCGAAGTCATCAAGAAGTACTCGATTCCTTCCACTGACAAGCCCGAAACCGGAGCCCCTGGCCGTCGCGGCCTGGGGCGCATGGGAACATGGTTTGGCAGAGACGGCGAAGCGGAGTCCTCGCAAGCAGCGCAGAGCAGAAAGGCGGCTGCGGACGAGTGGCTAGCGGACGATGGACTTCGGTTCACCCTGGCCAACGACGACGAAGTTGACAAGCGAGGTGTCGGCCACAAGGGTCGCCGCATGACTAAACACGAGTTCGCCCAGCAGATCAAGAATCTGGACCCCAAGGCTCGTCGCCAGATGGTAGAGGAGACTGACGTTCCCGAGCGTGTGAAGAATGTGGCCCGGGACGAGGCCGAGGAAGGTAAACGGCGAGAGTCTCTCCCAACACAACCTGTTGAAGTACCAGTGTCGCCTGGCACGCAGAGAGAAACTCTCGGCGTCGAACAGTTCAGCCCCGACAGTGATACCACCGAGGATGAATCGGAACAGGACATCCCCGGCCACGACGTCGCTGCTTCGCTTGCCAGGGTCACTCGAGGCTCTGCTGCACAGGAGCGACGCAGTAACCTGGAGCCGTCCGACTCGCCTCCCTGGGCTCAGCCCCGTCCGAGGAGAGACTCCGAAGACGATGGGACCGAGCGTATCCCACCGGCTCGACTCCGAGAAGCAGCCGGTCTTGCGCGTCCCCCACAGCAAGCAGAGTTGGAAGACACAGGTGAAACACCTGCGGAGCGTCGTCGTCGTCTAGCGGCCCTGGGAGAATTGCACGACTCGGACTCTGATGACCCGGATGCCGCAGTAGAAGACACGGACAGCGAAGACAATGGTGAATTCCGCCAAGTGCGAGGAAGGGTCCTGTTCGCGGATGGCTCTCGGCCATCTGAGCGAAGAGACGATGCTGGAATTGTAAGCGGTCTTCCTTCAGGGTCGTCGAACCAAACGTCGGGACGTAGGGGACACCGCACCCGCATTTCATGGGGAGGAGAGAAAGGTCGCGAGACTTGAAGCTATGGCAGCAGAAAGGAAGGCAGAGTATTCACAAAGAATAGAAAGCGAGCGCAAGCAAGGCGCAGTGTGAGAGCCCTTGCGGTGTACAAAGCCGAGGAAACAAGATCTAGATTCTTGTCTGTTATTAACTCATGTTTCGACTCACCATTGGCACCGAGGCGTTTGTCCATTTGCCTATCTCGGTTGCTGTATATAGAGGGCGACGTTGTGTAATGTTTGATTGGATTCCCCTTCTTGTTGTTCTGGTCTGGCTAGGATCGGCTATTGAATGGCTGAAAATAGTCCTCTTGGCTTTCGTCCTGACTGGATGTATTTACTCGTCTTTCAATAGTACATGTGCCTAAGACTTAGCTTCTGCATTTCCTGTATTCTAAGTGCCTCTTCTTGCCTACATAATACCAATAGACATTATCATGAAATGAGAACTCATCTTTGCTTGAGTGATAATTACATTGTCCTCCTCTTTCACATTTGAACTTGGACAGACATATGGCGTACAGAATCGAGTCCTTGCATGGCACATGATTTACAATGCTCAAGCCGTCCCATTGCGAAATTTTGTTTTTACCTTTACTCAGGCTTCTGGCCACTGCTACTTTGTAGAAAGATGATCATTCTCAACAGCTAGACTAGATTTCATAGTTGTTCATAGTTTGAACTTTAAGGAGTCATAGTATCCAACTCTAATGTTAGCTAAATAAAACTGATGAAATACTTACAGGACTATCAGCGTAGTTTTCTCCTGCTTTTTGTTAGGAAAATGAGTAAGCATATTACCAAGGAGAATAATGAGATATTACTCCTGGGCTAGATAGAGCTATACAGATGCTTTAAACCGGGTTCTGCCCTGCCAATCATTTAACCACTCGACTAAGGTGTCTAGAGGGTAGAATTAGTATTGCAATACGATATAATCTCTATAAACAAACAATAAAAACAAACAAGCAAACTACTCCATCAGGTTACCAACAATGGAATGTGACATGTGGTATCTATGACGTACCTTAGTAACTTAAAAGCGGCATGCAATAAGCTTCCCCTGGTCCTCACCATGGAAGTTAGCGAGTCTGCGACAGCGACAGCATCACACCAGATCTTAATCTTATCGACCTGAATCATACACTGCGCAGCATGGAAAGTAGCGGACTGCGCGGCCTCAACAGAAGAGCCCTATCAGAAAGCCTGAAGAGCCACGCTCAGACGGCACAGGAGGCAGTCTCCAGCATCATGGGAATCCGCCAGACACTGCTCTCCGCTGTCCTCTTCGACATCCCTCCCGTCTGCTGGCCCGCGGTGAGAGGGATGGTTGCAGACTACCAAACAGTAGCATACCCTTCCTTTGTTTCCTGTTTCCTGTTGACAGGTGGGAGATTTTGACGGGTTCCCAGGTTGCTGGCGTGGCTGAGCGTCCTCGTCCTCATCGTGATGCATACATCATCGTGTTGCTTCCGGGGGAGTCGACGATTGCGAAACAGCATGACCTGCTGCTTCTCCCCCTGTCCCTGACTGGGGATCCGATAGTCAGCGCAGTGGACGTTGAAGGGAAGGTCTTGCATGTTGGTTGGCAGGCCCAGTATTACTTCCAAGTACATGAGACGTGTAAGTTCCGCGTCTCGGGACGTGGGAGGGTCAGCGCCCTATGTGTGGTGTTTCCTCGGACCTGATCTGTTGATATGGATTTTGTTATGAAGAGCATCTTTACAATGGTAATGATATGACTAACCAGGTATAGTTAGGGGACTAGTTAGTGAGCAAATAGATGGATGTTTGTATCAGCAGAAGTTCTTAGAGTCTTTAAGTTGTGGATAAGCCTCGAACCTCGCGGCTGTATAAATAAGGCTGTTTTTGCATTCCAGGATGCTGTGCATCTGGATCGATTGAATCTGTGACTCAGTGGATTTACCACTCCCACCTGTCCCACTATGGCTCTCAGGGGAGGAATAGGTAGGTACTACCCAGCGGAAGCCTTGGCCCATTGGCGAAAGTATTATACCACCATGGTGATATGGTGATATCCCCTGGCCTGCTTTTAGTCTCGTCGATCAGCGAACATGAATTTCTTGGGCTCTATACATATCACTCCTGAGAAGAAACTAGCACATACGACCATAGGGTGTGGAAAACAGGGCTTCCCGTCCGCTCAGCCGTACTTAAGCCGCACGCCGGCCGGTTAGTAGTTGGGTGGGTGACCACCAGCGAATCCCGGCTGTTGTATGTTTTTTCCTCATTTTTTTGTGTTATCAAACTATCCTGAGGAGTCGTTTTGAATATCAAGGAGGGCAGCAGACTGGCACTAGGGGCTTTGATTTGTTCTGGGCTCTGCCGGATGGATGCCTACTTTGATCAACAGCTGCTTCGTGGCTCACCAGCTAGGTAGGTTCTGTTTCAGGAGGTAAATCTAATTGATTCAAATGAGATAAAGGCTGGCTTATCCTTATCTTCTGTTCGGATTGGATTCTTTTCTGAGGAGAAATAATGTCCATGCAGCCGTTGTTCATCGTGCAGCGGAGATGACTGTTGTCAGAGAGGAATAAGATAGAATCGATAGGAAACATAAAATGATGAATAATTATGTAGAAGAAAGGCTGTATGAAAGGACCAAGAAGATAAATGTCAAGCGGAAAAAGGGACAAAGATGCATATGTGGTGTAGTAGAATGCTTAACCATGCCAAACCAGCCCACGGCTTATTTTACCTGTCCAGATTTCCTGCAACACCAAACACCGCTTATATAACAAAGCCAAGCCCAAAGGGTGCGGAAAATGAGATGAATATTGTATATTGGAAGAAGAGAGAATAGAAACGAGTGATCGCCTTCAATGTGGGTATCAGGGGAGGGGGTATCTCAAGCAACAGTTCGGATGTCGCGACACTCGCTTCTTGTTCAGTTTCTTCCTCGAAAAGTCTACAGGCACGTTGGATCACAAAACGCCGCCGGGTAGGTGGATCTGGCCTTGTCTGCCCTCGAAGCCTGCGCTATTGGGGGCAGAGCCCCCGCTGGCGTAAGCGTTGTCGATGGGATGCAGCTGTTTTCGTAGCATGAACATGGGTTTTCTTCCTTCCTTTTCCAGTTGCTTGAAGAGAATAAGCGGCCGCTCCTCGAGTCCTAGACATCGCTCTTGATCGCCGTACACAATGTACAACGCGTATTGTTTCCAGTCGCCATTGATATTGTACTTCTTGAGTGCGGCGGGAAGAACCTTATGACAAGGGTCATCCATTGAAACACGGAACGACTTGAAGATCTCGACGCTAGGTGGATCTCCACCCGCTCGGGAATCGGACCGTGTGGGAACATCGGGGCGCGACGCTTGTGTCGGGGTCGGATTCAACCGATCGGGTCGCGATTGTGTCGTCGGAGTATCTTCCGGATGATCATAGCCTGTGCGACTCGAATTCGGTTGGGTGTAAGAACGTGATGCAAGCGTCTGGTGAGCACCGTAGTGAGCTCCAGGAGACGTCGGCGATGGCATGCCCGGTGACAACTGTGGCTTGCCATTCAAGGCGCTCAGGTGGGACGAATTCGCGGCAGCGGACGGATCCAGGCCACCGTTGTCATTGTACGGTCGTCCTTCGTGTATCGAAGGAGGAATATGCGTGGGCGAATTGTTCTTGGGCGTGGAACCCCCGGTGTAGACGCGTTTGGAGAAAGTTCGAGAGATTCCCGACGCCGCACGCTCAATCAAAGTGCTTCCGGAGGGCGAGACGAGGGTTTGGCCTTCATAGTGGCCATCGGCTCCAGGGCCCGACGATGATGGAGGGGGAAGTGGTTGTGATCGATCCTTGGCCATTTTGAAAACAGGAAGAAGCTCTTCGCGAAGCCGACGATACTCCTCTGCAACTCGCCGCAACTCCGTTTCAACGCTGACGATCTTTTCATCCCGTAAGCGGATCGATTGTATCAAACGAGCAATATCCTCTTGTGTGGCCGTTTCGTTCATGCTTTGGTCCGCCGCTGCAGGACAGTTAGAACAAACACCCGCGTCACCATGGAAGGCATGGAAGCAAGAACCTACAAAGAGGTATGTAGTGGTCAGGGTCGAGAGGAATGTCTTGCTTGACTTTAGTCTCGTATACACTTTTCAGAATGGTCAATCGGTGCCCAACGCTGGTGATTCCCATTTCTTTCAATTCCTCATGTTTGAGCGCGATCAGTGCTTCGCCGACGATTTCGTTCTCTACAATGAGTAAGCAGGTTAGCCGTTTTCCACACACCAGAACCCTGTCTAATGGTCCCAATAATTCTGTTAGACGGCCAACTCACCAAGAAATGTCGCGCAGTACTGACGGAGGCCGAGCGCGGCAAGCCAGTTTGCGGATTCCTCAGCCGTCCACTCCGTGATAATAGTCTTCGGCGATCGAGGGTCTTCCTCGGGGTTCGCAAATGTCCTAGGAGTGTGCTCGGCAGAAGGGAATTCGGAGTCGGAGGGAGAGGCCTCGGAGTCGGTCGCTAGATGAGGGGAGGTAAACACACTCCGTTCGTACTCATCATCGGCGTCGGAGTCCGCGTGATAGGATGTATGCAGAGACATGTCTGTAGAAGGAGGCTAGGGGGCCAACAATGACGTCCACGGGAACGAAGAGGAGAATGGAGTGGACGTCGGCCCAGAGAAGCGTCGGCTGTGCAGCACCACTACTGTAAAGAGTGACAGCAAAGTGAGCAGACGGTGAGCATAGAGATTATGAGACGGTATTTGGCCTGTTTTATAAGACCGAGGTCGAGGTCATTCAGAGTTGCAATCCGACGAGGTCGGGGGATGATGCAAGTGACGAGGGCAGTTCAGCCAAGCAGGTAGGCCCCATGAACAAGGAACGATGGCGGTTAGAGGCAATCAGGAATCGTCAAGATGCGGAGATGGAGCGAAAGGGAGGTAGGTAATGTGAACGCCAGCGACTGAACTAAGATCGTCCGTAAGATGGCAGAGAAAGAGAGGTTCGTCACGACACAGGTATAGTCGAGGTTGGGACTGAAGAATATGTTCCTGAGGCCACCAACGCAGTAGTGGTTGGAGAGTGAGCGAGAGCGGGGGAATCAGAGGATCTTCTCCCAAACGGGAAGAACTGTAAATTAACAGGAGAGGATTTATTCCACGAGCGAGAATTGAGGAAGAAGGTGAAGAGGAATAAATAAAAAATAGAGAATGATGATAGTCTCTTCCTAGAGTACCTAAGACCTCAGGAACTATCTACCGAATGGAAGTACCTGATCTGGACGTGGAGTAACTGTTCAGTCCATCAGTTGGTGATAAATGACCAATCCGAAAAAGGAGTGGCACTGGTCAGCGCTTCTAAAGTTGGATCTCCACACGTGATCCTGGTCTGGGCCCCCTTACCTGTTGTTAATTAAAGCATCGTCTCCCTGCCAAATTCTGAGGTCGAATATGTCACCTTCTCCATGAGCTTCCTCATCCTGGTTTGCTTGTTAAGAACTTACTCCGTATTACTTCTACGACTCAGGTCTGTCCAGTATCCTTGTCGTTGATCATTCGCACCTTGAATCAATTCATCAGAAAAGGGGCAAGCAGGCTATCAAGGGCCTCGATGAACTATTGATCGAGTTACACTATCAATGATTATTGCACAAGTGCAACTACTACTATCTAGTCTCAGTCATCCCCGATATCCAAGGCCCAGTCTCCATGAGTATGCAGGGGCAAAAGTCTTCCTACTGACGTTGATGGTATCCACGGAGGATAAAATCTTCAATAATGTTCAATGTTATTCATGATAGGCGCTGTCAAAAATCAATAGTGCCGGGGACCTGTACATTTTGGGCCTAAGAGAGTCCCAATGCTCCGCTATCATCGTGCTAACAATTGGCATTTCTATTCTGGGTTATTTTCTGATGCATCTTTGCTTGAGCTTTTTTGACTAGCTTGTCTCTTTTCGTACGCTAATTGAGTACAGACTACAGAGCAAAATTCTGTCTGGTTCTGTTCATGAAGCGATATATAATTGGTCTTTGGGCGACAGGGCTCAACGTCTCTGGGCTCCGCGCAGTCGTGCAGAGTACAGATGAACCAGCAGTCCGCGACTTCGCCTAGTCAGCGGTCCAATCCTTCTTCAGCGTACCTGGTAGATTCCTCCCTAAGGACCAAGGTATCATTGTGATATCAAGTATGACAGACGTTGCATGAGCATGTGGCGCGTCATGACTGTCGATTGTTGAGTGTGGAAAAGATGGAAAAGAATACCAGCATATTGTCTCACTGACATTCAATGGGACTATATTTTGTTGTGTATTATTGAATTAGATCTTCTATTAATTGACAATACCAACCTAAGAAAAGCAAACAAGCTCCATTTGGCCTTCTATTTACCTTCATCTTTCCATTGACTCGATCAATAATGACCAGTGCACTGGATGTATTGTCTGAAGAAGTCTCCAAAGCAATTAATACCCACTCCGGTGCAATGGTTGCACTTGGGTCCGTTCGAAGCGCCAACAACAAATAATGCATACAGGGTTTGGAGTGTACAATTGTGAATGCATTGGTCTCGAGAGCCACTGCTTTCATGGCCCATCCTCAGAGCTCAGAAATGTACCTTATGTCAACTGTCGTGATACATGAGGTGCCGTTTTCTAGTGGGAATACCTAACACTAAATAAACCACACATCGATTTGAAGATCGATATTGATGATGATGTTAAAGGAGTCTTCAA